CATCCCACCCTGTTATGGAGTCTTGCTTTACTCCCTTGGAGATCCACGCTTGCGCGACCCCCTTGAGAGTGGTTGGGAAATATTTGCACCAAGTCGCTTCGGATCTGGGGCAAAGATGCATATGAGTCTCATACGAGGCCACGTGGTCCTTCGGATCCGAGGTCCCGTCATATGTGATGTGCGACGGTATTTTAACCGTGGGCACGTGCTCTTCCAGTATCCATTGCTCGAATGGCGAACTGGCGGGTAGCATAACGGCCTTGCCCTTGTTCCTGGCCGAAGGGACCGCGCTCCGCCCTCTTAGAGAGGTAGGAGTGGTTTTCGTCCCTGGCTGGGAAGTCTGGGCCTCGGCCGCAGGGAACGAGAGGCGATTGTACACGCTCGGTTCCTTGCCGCCGAGTCGGTCGAGGACGCTTCGGCGAACAGTCTCATGTTGTTCCCGGTGAGTAGATTCTGGCCGAGAAGCTGAGCTGCTGCTCTTATGCGTTTCTGGTCGGGAGGATGAGGATCCTTTGAAAAATTGAGGGTTCTTTTTCCTCTCTTTTTCAGTTTTCCAGGTATCCTCTTCCCACTCTCCCAGTTCCCGGGAGGAAGGAAGCTTCCCACCATCACGGTCTAGCTTCCTCCGTTGATGCCGGGTATGCGGAGGAGTTCGATCACGAGGTGGTGGCATATTTTGTGCCCTCATTGCCTCCATGAGCACTACCAGCGCTCTTGCCACCTCCTCCGAGCTGGGCCCCGTCAAAGGGGTCCTCGGCCGAGTATGGGAATGAGAGCGCACAGTCGATGGTTGGCTTTGGGGCACTGAATGTGTCCTATGATCGGAATCACCCCTGCTAGACCGAGAGTGACTCGGCCTATGATGAGAGTTATGAATTACGGGAGAAAGGGAATCCTCCCTGTATGATCCTCCCCCCGAGCTGGCACCCTTGGGAGAGTTCCGGTCCGGCGAGGGTGATGGTGTAGGGGTTTTAGGCTTTTCGCCTGCTCCTTGACGGAGGCCTTTGCTCTTGCGGTTCTTAGCCATTGCTAATAAGATAATTGCAAGATGATCTTGGTTAGAAATTTGGCTTAAAGATTTTTGAAAGTCTTCCCCACAGACGGCGCCAAATTGTTTCGGGTGAAAACAATGGGACCTTGTCGAAGGTCCGATGAAGTGGAGAAGACTGGATTCGGTCCAAGTGATGTTGGGCCGAAGGTTTCCTACACAGTAAACACACGTAAACTAGCCTCGGGGGTGTTGCCGAGGAAGGCCCCTCCGATGCTAAAGTCAGTACAGTGTGTAGAAAGAGAACACTATGCAAGAGAATTAATTGCTTGAGGCTTTTCTTGAATGAATGTACAAATGTAATATTGATGGCTTTTATACCTTTGCATATATGGAGAAGTTGGGCCTTAGCCCAATTGGTTTGCCTTGAGGACTGATCTTTGACTTTAACACAATTGGAGAGATGAACCTTGACCTTGGGCTTTTAATTGGATCATTTAATGCCTAGGCCCAATTGGACTAAATTGAACCCAAACAATACCTAAAAAGTGTTTTGAAATAAGTTCACATATAATGTGCTCGTTTCACTCAACGAGTCTTTCATTTCATACATAGAAAAAAAAAACTTTTGATAATCTGAAAACTAGTTGATTACTTCATATTAAACTCATGTATGTAATATTTAATCCTCCCATAATACCTAAACAATTTAATTTGAATCTGACTTTGTTCATTTTCCATAACCCGCCTATTATTCTAGGAAACACAAAACCTTCTAAGACTTGAGATTTTTCCCGTCTAATGAAACCCCAAAACGACTTGGATTAGAAGTTTTCCATTCTAATATATCTCTATTTTCAAAACTCGAGATGTTTTCGTGTTACATTGGTCATGTGGGTCATAGGCCTCCAAAAACACTAAGAAGATTCTCAAAAAAGAAAGAGGAGAGGAGAAGAATGAACTCCAAATTCGGACCCGTAGCAATCGGAAAAGACAGGGGCAATAACATTATGATTTCCTCTTGTTTGTCAGCTTCTCCACCTTTTACTATTCGTAAAAAACTAGGAGCGTGTCATTTTTATGCAGTTTTTTCCGCTTTTAACTTTTGACAATTTTATTCCTTCATTTTTATTCCAACATTCAATCATTCTACAATCTTCTTCATCATCTCATTGAGACTTTGGAAGAGAAAAAAACAGAATGGCAGAAGAAGGAAAGAGAGTTGGAGTTGCTGTTGATTTCTCGGTTTGCAGTAAGAAGGCGCTCAAGTGGGCGTTGGATAACGTGGTTCGCCAAGGTGATCACCTCATTCTTATCACGGTTCACCCTCAACATAGTTATGAGTCCGGTGAAATGCAGCTTTGGGAAAAAACTGGCTCTCGTATGTATTCTTTAACCAACCATGCTAGTTGACATTCATTTTATTTGGCGTTAGGTTATTTAGTGCTTTTTTGAAGTTGAAAGTTTGGAACAAATCTTGTAATTGATCAAAGAGTAAAAACTTCGAATCAAATTTTGCTGATTTTTTAGAAATAGGGGTTGACAAACAAGAACAGATGCATATACTTTGTTCATTTAAGAGGTGCTTTTAAGGGCGTTTAAAATGATAAGCTTTTTTAAATAGGTATTCTGTAAGACATACAAAGCCAAAAAAAATATATGGTTAAAACAAGGAGTCATATAAAAAGGAGGGAAAACTCCCTGCTTAATCTGCTTATAGAAAATATTATGTAGAAGAGAAGACTGCAGGCTGCAGTAACCTTGATCAACAAATTAACACGAACACGAACATAACATTTTAATGTACGAATAACAAACACTTATGTTAAAAGATAAGGCTCATATTAGTTTCTCATTCAAATACTACAATTCTGATTTCTTTACAGCTTTTATCCCTTATGATGACTTCTCAAACCCCACCATCATGAAGAAATATGGAGTAGTACCTGATGAAGAGACGCTTGAGATTGTAAAAAATGCAGCTCGGGAGAAAGGGGTATGTTATAACATTCATTTTAGCCTTCGGCATATTATTACTCTTAGAACAAACTACTGTCGGATTTTGATAGAAACTAGCCTCTTTATTGAACAGGTTGTCCCACTCTTGAAAATCTTCTGGGGAGATCCTCGTGAGAAGCTATGTGAATCAATTGATAGCATTCCCTTGAGCTGTCTTGTTATCGGAAACAGAGGACTAGGAACACTTAAGAGGTTGGTTTTGGTTTAATTTCTACCTTGTGTTAATAGGATTGTATGGATTCATCATGTTTTAAATCTCACTGGTTATTGGCTTTTGTCTATAGAACTTAATAATGTCTTAACATCTTATAGTCAGTCTTCTGAAAATTGCTCCAGTTCACTACTTATGCAAGGAGAGGAGTAAAAGATACTTCTTCCGTACCTAAATAATAGGCCATGTACTAAACTGAGTTAAATTACCATATAATTATCCCTCACTATCAAAAGTTTGAACCCCATCCTGTCCTGAACAAGAAGATCCCATATAGTCCTGATTCACTAGGCAGGCTTCTGAAAAAAGTAAACTCCAGCAAAAACTTTGGGCCAGTATAGGAGAAGAGGAGCAAAGTCGTCAGTGAGAAAGGAGCCCAGATGAACAAGAAGGTTAGATAATCGAAAAGTATGGCCTTGAACCTTAAGCAAGAAGAAGAATTGGGACCCATTCTCATTTCCTCAGCCTAGAAATGCTGGGGTTTGGAGGGTTGGTGCATGATTTTGGGACGGGGGTTTCAGTGTCTTATCAGTAAAATTGAAGCTGGGTTTAGAGATATTATTTTATCTCGGGGCCTCTGTGAAAAAAGGATTGATAAGCAGGTAAAAAAAAATCAATGAATAAACACCATCAGTAGGGCTAAAGGAAAATGATTGTCTGTGGTCTGTGGACTTTGTGGAGCATAAGGTTCTGCATGAAATATCTGAACAAGATGATGAATTTTATAGTAAAACCTCTTCTTTCTCCAACTTAAGCATCAAGAAGTGAATAGAACACAGAGTATTGAGCGAAATAAATTCTACTTGACTTATTGGTTAAAAAATGCAGGTGTAATAGATAAGAAGACCATAGCAGCCAACTAAGGAAAAAAAATAATCTAATGTCAATTCTGCTCACAAAAATCATTTCATTTGAAGTATTAATCTAGTCCTTTGATCGAATGGTATATTGCTTGGTTATAAAAGCTAGAGAAAGGGAAATTTCTACTTAACTGGCTTAGGTCTTTCACTTATGTTAAGGATCTTACTATTCTTATTGTTTTCTTCATGACAGGGTTTTCTTAGGCAGTGTCAGCAACCATGTTGTGAACAATGCATCTTGCCCTGTAACCGTTGTACGCTAAGTGGTTTCATTTCAAGCCGAGTTTCAGCTTATTTAGTCTGGTGAAGGGTCTTGTCAAATGAGCCTCTGTTGGCCATTTGGCTGTCTCGACTCTCGAGCTAGTTCAGTGGAGTTGTTCTTAATAAGTTCAGTTGTTTGTAGAATTATGTTAAAGTAAAAACTCTCATCTTAAAATGGCATGCTGCATGTATGTGTGCAATTTAATGTCAGCCTGTAGCTGATGTTTGTATTTACCCTCAGGAAGGGAAAACTACTTTCTTACAATAGTTTCTATCATCTAGCAGCTTACAATAGGGGAAATTATACTCCCTGCATACCTAGAATAACTTTTCACTGTCAATTTTCAGGTGTTCCTATAAAACTTCGCACTTCATCTTCTTTCTCCGCTATCTCTTTTCCAAAGCTTTCTCTTAGTTTTGGCTTACTCATCCACATTCAAAATTTTAAACTAACTATTCCTAATCTCTTTGTCGATCATATCTTTTTTATGAAGTTAATTGTGGAATGGAAGGAGTATATGCAAAGCTAGGGTAGTTTTGGGGCATCCATGTATAATTCAAACCCATTTGTTTTTGAATTTCAGCAAAATCCAGACAAAATAAAGGTTCGTTATAAATGCATAAATATATAGCTAGAAGTTTTTAAATGAATGAACCAATCAAATAATAAGACATCATTTGTAAACTTTTAATGAGAAAAAAATAGATCGTGCATACATTATTTTGGCCACTCGGAAGCAACTACTCTCAAAATTTTTATGCAACAAGTAGCCACAGATATTCAGATTGAAGGCGCAATGGCACACTAGTTACAAGAAAGAATGAATGTTGCTCAAACAATACCATTCTAACTAAAAATATTCTATGTTAAGGCAAAGCAGCACTGTCTGCGGAATGAAGATCCAACCAAGCTTTTTTAACAAGAATAACCCTGACCTTTGTTTTGATATACACTCTCCAGCTGTTCCTTTGCTCTATGGACCTTTGTTTTGATATACACTCTCCAGCTGTTCCTTTGCTCTATGGACCTTTGATTGAAGGTAAAAGCTCCCTTGCTTAGCATTCCTCTCAAATAAAACGTCGTACTTCTGCACAAATCAAAAGATATATGACAAGGAGAGCTATGCTACAGGAAAGTTAAAACTTAAAAATCACATCTGCTTTTCTATAAATGCATTGTTTAAAAGGTGAAGGAACACTGACTTTCACAATTTCCTCCCAGGCGGCATTTTCAGGGACTCCAAGAATCTGTCTTGCTTCTTGCTCTGTGAGAGCCCGACTTGCTTTACGAACTGTGTTCTGCATTGCTTCTTGCGCAGTACCAGTTTTAGATGCATCTGCAGTAAACAAAGCAACAATTCAGTAAGCGCCATGATACCTAAATTGTTCTCCAGTAAACTTAGAAATTAAATAAAGAAAACCCCAAACATTTATCTTAAAAGCGTCTAATTTTCTACATATATGTGTTGGTTAATGAAAGTGGAGCATTTAAACAAATGTACATTACACAATCACAATCAAGGTTAACAAATTCTGCAAATCTATTTTATTGCCAGACTTCACGATGCAGCCAGAAAGAAATGACAAAATCAATTTTGCTGAATCGATATCTATACACAAACCCAAAAAAAAACATTGGGCAATTAAGAAAGAAGAAAGATGCTAATTCATTGATATTAATGGTTTAGACTCTAAACACATATTGGACTGCAGGACTATTCAGTAATTCAGTCTTCACAATAGTTTATTACAGCCTTTACAGGTTCTCATTTCCTTATTTTGCAAAAATTAAGTAAAGGAAGGCCATCACCATCCCTCACTTTCTTTCCTTCCATGCCCCACCTCACCTCGCCAAACAGCAAACAAACATTGAAAACTTCTCAACATCAATAACATGGATGATCTGAAGAAAACTACACAAAGAAGTTCCAGCAACTTCGATTCAGGATAAAGCTAGTGTGCAGGGACATCTAGACATTTGACTGTAGCTTTCCTCCAAATTTGGCTCAAAATTTTAAAAGTAAGACTCCATATAAGAATTTCTTTGTTGTCATGAAGTTTAATGATATCATTTCCAAACCCTGATGAAATTCCAAAATCTTGAATAAGGCAGATATGACATTCAATTAAGACCAAAGAGCAAAAGATCAGGGAATCTTAGGAAGAAAGTAAGGTCTCTTGTTTCCCTTGTCATATCAAGAATTTTTCCAATAATAAGTTGTTTGCATAAAGAAAGGTATACACAAGAATCATAACCATGTGTATTATCACAAGCAAAAAAAGAAAAAAATGAGAGATAAAAACAATGTAGTTAAAAGCTTCGTTAAAGAGCACATAAGCCTTACCAAGGCTGCCACCCTATTTAACTAAGTTGTCGTGACCCAGTATTTCAGACCCTTCAACAGATGCTATTCAAAAAGCACAAACACAAACCTCTACAAAAAAGTTTGCTTGCATTGGAACATATGCTTCCTTGGCATATCAAGGACCTTTCATTGGTCTTCTCATAAAAAAATATGGACTCAATATCGGAAACTGATACTACTATCGAAGTGATGATTAAGATTTTCTCCCTTTCAAATCATAGATTAAACGCTACACAATTAGACTTCATCAAACTTAATAACTGAGACCAAAACTTCACAGGTGACATGACAGGTTGTAAAAGTATGATGCTAATGGACCACAGTTTGATAAGATAGAATCCTTCAAGAAATAAGGAAAGAGAGAATAGAATATAAGGTTGTTTGACACAAGGAACTACATAGTAATTCCAGAACCAAACTCCTATCTCAAAGTGATTACATGGGACAGAAACACCATACGCTCTATTTCAATAACTAATAAAAAGCTTTCAATTCTTTGAAAAAAGGGAATTAAAGGATCCTAATTCCGCAACTAACTCACTCCATTCTACATCATTTGTTCCTCCATCCTCATTATCGAGTTTTCAATAGCATAATATAGTACCAAATTATTCTTCTAAATTTCTTCCCAAAAGTGAAAAAAATCCTCATATAAAACAATAACAATACAATGCCAATGTATCCCCAAACAATACTTACTCATAAATCTCCAGAGAACGATGAGCTGAACCCCAAAGTTCGTAAATGATAACGAATCGAGCATCAAGATAGTTTTATAATTTAAAGTGATGTTCACCAAAAGTTATGTACATTATTCATGTGATTCAGATTAACTGTTTCCTTCTTCACCCCATTCCTCACAATTAACAATGCCCCTAAAAACTCCACCAATAACCCATTTGAAAAACCATATAAAACCCCCACTTACCATCCCAATTGAATCATCAAATAACCCATAAAAAAGCCTATAAATCAAATACTTGTTTTTTTGGCTCAATTGTAATCAAATGGCGCAAAGTAAGAGTTCATAAATAAATAAACAAATGGTAAAAATGAAGAAGAAAGAAGGAAACTTACTAACAATAGCTTGACGGTAAGCTTGAGCAACGGCCCGAACTAACATCCCAGAACCCATCACAAGAACTTGGGCGAGTATTCTTGCAGCCTGCCCATCATATAAGTCCAAACAAATTGATTAATACCCATTAAATATCTAATTAAGAATAAAAAAAACCCAGAAATTGGGACAAACAAAATACCATATTTGGCTTTAATATATCTCAGACTCTCTGAATATCTGAGTAGAGCTTACAAAAATACAATGGAATTTCAGAGATTGTTGAAAATTGGGAGAGAGAAGTATAATTAGGTTTTCTCCCTGTTTTATTTTGGTTTTTTTTGTTCTTCCCTTTTTTTATAGTTTTGAGTTCGGCTATTGGCTCGGTGGAGAAGAAACGAACTTATCAATTTCCAATTTGTGTCTTTTTTTTGGGGGGCGTCACTATTTATTTTCTTCGTTTTTTTTTTTCTGTGTCTTGTCTCACAAGAAATTATAGTTCGAAATATCTTATATTCCTATGGATCACAATTCACAAGAAATGAAAAAAACTTGGCTTAGTGAGAAAATTTGTTCTTCTTGGAGATTCAATTTCATTAAACACATTTTGAGGGCCAGAATTTAATGGAATCCGATTTTAATTTTGAGGACCCTTTTTTTTTCTCATCACTATTAATAAGAAATACGAAGTACTAGATTAAAAAAGTTAAATGCAAACAAAATCATTGAAGTCTTAGACTCTTAGGTAGGGACTAGGGATGGAAAATGTGTGCATGTAGTCCCCTCCCTTGTAGTCATACCCATCAAATTTTATACCTACCACATATCTATTATACATGGCTGGTATGCCTGTTATATATTCAATAGGAAAAATTGCCCGCAATAATCCGACATTTTAGCCATCCGCTGAAAATAATCCCACCTATGGATTATTTTTAAATAATCCCACTTTTATACCCACTCCGCTATAAATGGTCTCAACCGGCCATGTAACCTGTTATAACAAGTTACTTGACACGTGTCGCCATGTTATTTGTCAAAAAAAATTAAAATAAATTAAATTTTAAAAAAAGTTAAATGTTTTTTTAAGAAAAACTAAAAAAAAATAAATAAATAAAATTCACCACCAGCCCAAGCCTTCCCCGCCACCCCTGACACCTCATCCCGTAGCACCGGTCACCCAGACCCCCTACCCTAGCGCCGGGGGTGCCTTGAACCCCCTCCCCTGAAACCCCGCCTCCCTCCATCACATAACCACCGTCTCCTTCCCTCATGACAACAATCACAGCACCAACCTCCGTCGCGAAATCACCGGCCCCCAACTCCAGCGTCAGCGCCGTCAGCCACCAACAACTCAATTTGTCCACCCTTTCCCTCCCCCTAAACCGCCGACTCGTGGTCCCCTCACCCTGAAACCACCAACCACCCTCGAAAACCTGTTCCCCCGTCCCGATCCCAGTCCCTCTCCCCATCCCCGTCCAAATTCCGGTCGTTCCTCCCTTTGTCCATCCCGATTCCAGCCTCTCTCCCCTAGTCTCCTTCATGCGATTCCGGCCTCTCTCTCTCACCTACCTCCGTCGCAATTTTGGCCTCTCTCTCCTTCCTCCGTCGCGGTGGTTTCATATGTGGGTGCGGTTCCAGGGTTTAGGTTGGGTGGTGGTGGGTATGGTGGTGGCTGAATTGGTGTTGCTTAGGGGGTGGTGGTGATTTTTTACTTTTTATTTATTTATTTTTTAGACTAATCAATAAGTGACACGTGTAAATTCTACTTAAAAAAAAAAATTACCTGCTCAACCGGTTCTAAGTAAAATGGGATCATTTATAGCGGGGTGGGTATAAAGGTGGGATTATTTAAAAATAATCCATAGGTGGGATTATTTTCAGCGGACGGCCAAAAGGTCGGATTATTGCGGGCAATTTTTCCTATTCAATATTCATCTTCACATAGATAGACATAAATCTAAACTCGTTTCTACTTTCACCACCCAAGTAGATATCCATTACATGTTTATTACCCTAGCATACTCGCCTATTATTTGCCTACTACCCACTTAAAAAATAATAATAATAATAAACGGTTGTGGAGATTGGACAAACATGTAGATAAGAAAAGTGGGTGAACGAATGCGAGGTAAGCTAGGGGATATAAGAGGAGTTGCAAGTATTATTGTAAATCTAACACATTGCCACTACCTGTAAACACATTGCCACTACCTGTAAATGTACACATGTCTTTTGATATTCATACCTACTCACTATCCATCAAAGTCATACTCATACCTAGAGCTGACAATCCCTACACTCGACCCGATAACACAACTCAAACCCAACCTGAAGTTACTGAGAGATACCTGAACCCAATTCGAGTCGAACCCGAATTCAACCAGAATTGACCCAAGTTTCATATTTCGTAATAATAAAAAGTTTTACACTAATTTTGATAGTTTTTAAGCATCGAAAACCGACCCGACATCTGACTTGAAACCCGACCTGCTGACCTGAATTGTCATCCCTACAATCATACCTGCTATATTACGACATAGGTAACCGTAAATACATCAATTACCAATACAATATACGAGTAGGTTAAAAGCTTAAGATTATCATTTTACCCTTGAAAGTGGACAACTCCGTCCAATCTCGGGTATTGGTCTATTAGCCATTCAGCTGAATCAACTCCCGGTCCTAGCTAAGTAGCTAGTGCCTGGTTGAGCAATATTTGTGATACTCCACTTCTCATGTCAAAAAAAATAAAAAATAAAAAAAAATAAAAAAAAGTAATATTAAAGTAATTACTCCGTAGTTGATTTGTATTAAGCATGTTTGTCATCTACTAATGCTGAAGAAGAAGCTGATTCAGGATCCAAAAATCGATGATCATTTTCTTCTTCTTCTTCTTCTTCTTCCAACTCTAGGTTTCCACTTTCAAAAGTCAAATTGCAATTTCCAGTGAAGTTGTAATCAATGGCGTTTTGGTGGCCATTGTTAGTGCTTCTATTTGCTTACGCCATTTGCAGATTTCTCTTGATGCTCATTCCTCCTAATGTTCCTTCTATCGACGTTGATGTTTCCGACGGTATTTTCTCTCTCCTCTTTTTTGATTTCGCATTCCATTACTCCATAATTTGATCTTCAATATGCTGTTTTTGCTGTTGTAATTCACTAGTTGTTGTTGTAATTGCAGTTGTTGATGACGGAAATCAAACCAAGGAGAACAGTTTTATCTATGTGAGTTTTGAATCAAGTCAAATTGAATCGCTTAATTTTTTTGCAATTACTCCTAATTTAGCTAGGTATTTGTTGATTTTGGAGTTGAATTGGTGAAATGTGGACTCTATTTTGGTAATGTATATTAGGTGTTGCCTTTTTAAGTGAATGTGGAAATTTAGGAGTAGTATCTGATTTTTGGCTGACTTTTGATGGAAACAGTATGTAATGATGAAGTGAATTTTGGATTCAAAGTGAGGTTTGAATATTGTTGAACTAGCTAATGCTAAATACTTCGTATATGATATACGGAGTACAAGCATAAGACAATGCCAACGTGTCATATCCTGTAACGTGAAATTTGCTTCAGATTCTGCTTTGTTGTGCTTTCATTTTGCTCTCAATAGCATGATTGTAGACATATTTTGATATTGAAGTAATATGTTGAAAAATTAATGGATCATACTTCCAATGTTTTGTTTCTATGGAGCTAGATTGGCTGAGTCATTGTAGTTTAGCAGTTGCATATTTTTTATTATGGTTTATTTACTGGTATGAGCAGATACCAACAAGGGGAAGACAAACAGACAAAGTGCAATGCTATGAACCAGCTACAATGAAATACCTAGGATTCTTTCCGGCATTGAAGCCAGACGAGGTCCGTGTTACTTCCATGTCTTTTTAAAAAATTATCATTGCATGTAACACAGAATGAGCTCTGTTAGGTGATTATGTTATCCTCTTGATGATTAATTTTTGACACCCAATTATAGCTCTGGGTCCTTGGTCTCCAGACATGTTTTGCGGCATGCTGGTTGAAATAACTGAGACTTATATGTTACTGTTCAGAAAGTTTATAGATGTCATATTACATAAGGTCTCTTAGAACTTTAAAAGGCTCTTGATTAGGAGAACTTGCATTCCTGGCAGTGCTGATAGTTTTTTGCACAGATTTCATTTGGATGTCTTATGTGGTGATTTCAGTTAGCTTTATATCCTTGCTTGAGATTGTTGTATATGATGTAACCTGTTTAGATGTAAGTAACAAAAACTTCATCAAGAAAGGAAAGTGAGGTGTTTTTTGTTTAAAGACTTTTCTTACTGTTTCCTATCTTTTGTTCTAATTTGTATCTTCTTCTTAATCCCATTCGTTTCTTCAAGGAGCCAATGGGCATGTTTTGTTCATTAACTTTCAGGAAACTATGTATGCGTTGTATAATAATTTACTTACTGTATAACTGTTTGGAAGAAAAGAGAGATTAACACCTATCAATGTCCTACTCTAAAAAGGCCTGGTTTACTATTCTTTATATTCTATTAGGATATGGTAACTATGGATGAGTCACATTCTTGCAATTACTAACTAGAGGACTTGGTAGAAGGGAAAAAGTATAAGGATTACTTAATCCCAATAGAACTATAAAAGTATGTGTTTTGTGCCTAAGATTTAACCTAAATGACTTTAATATAATAGCACCGACTGAATGTATAGTTTCCTAGTGTTTATTACCAAAGATCCATAACATACATGTTCCACTTATGTTATCAGGTTCGAGAACGTGTTGAACAAGCAAGGAAGGCACAGGAAATTTGGGCCAAAAGTACCTTCAAGCAAAGACGGCAATTTTTACGTATACTTTTAAAGTACATAATTGAGCATCAGGATCTAATATGCGAGTAGGATCTCCTTCCTTATTTCCTGTTCTCTTACTCTTGTTTCAGTTTAAGTCTATAATTTTTGTTCCTGTTAAAAGCTAATTTTGTTTCATATGGAGTATGACCATCGCTTTTGCTACTTCCATGATGAATCCTGATCCTAGTTATCAAGTTTTATCTCTATGGATGCTGCCTAAAGTTTTTCAGTACCCTCTGATGGATATATTTCCTGGATAACCAATGTTAGTCGGGATTTACATTTTGCCTCCCTGTAAAAATAAAAAATTGGTGTTTAATATTTCTGCCTCCATATAATAAGATTATTACTCCCTGTAAAAATGTACTATGACCGGTCTATTCTTTGGACTTTGTGAAATGTCTCAGTGTATATACTGAAAGGAGTAGTTTGGGTGATCCTTTCAAATATACCATTTCCATTTTCTGAAAATTTGAATGTATTAAGCTTCTTTATGGTGTCCAAGCAGTAAATACTTTCGTGGTAGTCTGGTGTTTTAAGGCGAGAAGCCAGTGTGAAACATACACATACCACGTCACAACATCTGTAGATATGTGTTCATCTGGTTCACCATAAGTCTCAGAGTAGTACTTGAAGATTCATTTGGTACTAATTAGTGTGTGCTTAGAAACTCATTTTTGTATGCTGATTAAATGTTGCAGGATCTCTTCTCGTGATACTGGAAAGACAATGATTGATGCTTCCTTGGGTGAGATAATGACAACATGTGAAAAAATACATTGGCTTCTATCAGAAGGCGAAAAGTGGTTGAAGCCTGAATACAGGTATCATTTTCATCAATCACAATTCTTTTTTACTTATCATGCAAACTGGAAAACATTCTGAAAATGTATTTTATTTTTATATGTGCAAGCATCTTTAGTTCAGTTATGTTTAGATGATGAGGGCTTTCTTATCTTGTGTGTGTATTGTTGAAGTTTCACCAGCATGATTGTTTTTTTTTTTTTTTTTTTTTTTTTTTTTTTTTTTTTTTTTTTTTTTTTGGCGTGCTATGTCTCAGTGTTGTTTCAATTAAATAATTACTCAATGAAGATACAATCATACTTGGGAAAATAACGACTCCATCTTAATATACTTGCTACATCTAACTTTTCACGGTCTTCAAAACACACCTTTGACCATTTAGATCTCTAATTACGTATTAATAAATTTTCAAATAGTTGGTATTTTAGATATACACATTGTAACATATGAAATATCTAATAAGATCAAACTATGTTTTTTCTTGTATTTCTTGTATATTAGTTAATAATTACTCATAGCTTTTATCTTCAGATGGTTGGAGCTGAATGTTAAAAGAGCTAAGCCAAGTCAAAACCTATCCAATCTTATCCACTAGGTGGCATGGCTGGTCTTTCGTTGTCGATAATTAGTTAGTCTTAAACTTATATGCCTGATTTTAATACTGATATATTGACTAAAGTATCTATAGTTGGTAATTGGTATCATTGCTGTTTCCAGCACTGAAACTTCTGCTTAAAGTGACCTAAATGGCCAAATATATATTAATACTTCGTAAAATGTTTAATTTAGGTAGTATTCCAAGTTGCTATATGTGAGTACAGGTCGTGTTGTAGTCTTGTAGACCTGTAGTTGTGAAATATGGTACATATATCCAGAGCTCACTGTGCTGAGATTGACCTTTATCATATTGGATTTCAGGAGTTCTGGAAAGTCGATGCTTCACAAGAGATCTAAAGTAGAATATCATCCTCTAGGGGTTATTGGTGCCATTGTCTCGTGGAATTATCCATTTCATAATATCTTTAATCCAATGCTAGCTGCAGTCTTCTCAGGAAATGGTATTGTTATCAAGGTATGTAACTTCACCACCATGATGCTTTAGTTAACTTTTGACCTATTCTATAACTCATATTCCTATATGTTTCGATGTAATCACACTTTTGAAAGATGCTTCTCTGAGAGTCAAGAAGTGAGACTTGGCCTGGTTTTTGGTGGCACCAAAAGTGTTTTTGTTGTTTGTTTCATCTAGCTAACCTGAAATGTAGGTTATACAACGAATTTGTTATTGAGGGAAGGAAAAGTAGAAGCCAACCTAGTCAAGAAGTGCATCATGCTCATCTTGGACTGTCGGGTTGATATAAGAAATTTATAATCATAATCTGTTTCACAGTATTTTGTTGCCACTAAAAGGGCATTAAGTTGTATACAGAGAACATAGTTAAACCTGTGAGATAATATTCCCCAGTCCATACCTCCCCACAATAAAAGAAAGGAAGAAATAAAAAGATAAAGTGTATTTGCTCAAACATCGCATTAAGTGGAAAATTAGATTAAAAATAAAAAACGATGCATTGATGCTACTACCATTTTCTTGAACACCACCAATCATAATCCACCTAGCTGTCTGAATATAGCCAATGTCTTGGTTTACAACTTCTTAACTTGATATTCAATCAGCTATTCAGCTATGATAGACTGATAGCAGATGATTTTGGTTACTGGGTCTATTCATGAACATGATCTTTCTTGCAGCATCTAATTGGAATATAAACATATGATAAAGTTTAGATGAAAAACACTCCCACTGTGCAGGCCTTTTAAATGTTCTGACAGCAATTATCTTTTTGGTTTAGGTTTCAGAGCATGCTAGTTGGTCTGGTTGTTTCTACTTTCGGATAATTCAAACAGCCTTGGCTGCAGTGGGAGCTCCTGAGAATTTGGTTGACGTGATAACAGGGTATTCAATTTCTCTTCCTTTTTCTTCTGCATCATTCTTTCTGATTGTTCAAATTTGCTTTTGTCTTTTGCAATACGAGATCTCTAATTGAATTTCGTTGGCAGATTTGCTGAAACAGGGGAAGCATTGGTGTCTTCAGTAGATAAAATCATTTTTGTGGGTTCACCTGGTGTGGGCAAGAAGGTATGTCATGCTCATCTGGATTCTTCTTCTTCTCCCCACCCCCCCACCCCCCCTTTTTTTTTCTTCCTTTGTTCTTCATTTAGGCTGTTGCTTGTCTAAAACTGTTTTATTTTTCATGATGTGTCTATAAAACCTCAAGATGGCCAGTTGCAAGTATGATTAAGAAAGAATAAATTTATGTGAACGACTCATTTAGGTTTCTTATATACATATACTTCACTTTGCCGGAAATAATGCTCTGCTGGATATTGCTCTATAAGCTAAAGCTATTTTGTAATCATACAACAGAAACTACAACAAAGCCTTGGTCCCAAAATGATTTGGGGTATTTTGAAATCATATATGCTTAATAAGGCCCTACAGTCTTTGTTTTCTCTGTATTACTAGAGCCTTCCTTTATTTTTACTCTTGTTAGGGCTTGAGTTAATGCTTTATTGATGTGCTTAGATAATGAGAAAGGCTTCTGAGACACTCATTCCAGTGACACTTGAGCTTGGTGGGAAAGACGCATTTATTGTGTGTGAAGATGTAGACGTCGAACATGTAAGCAATCTTTCTTTTATTACATATTAGCTATAGCATTCTTAAATTGGTCCTCCCTGAATTTTAACATGATTGGTTTCTCATTGACTGAAAATTTGTATCCTTGATGTATAGGTTGCTCAGGTGGCTGTTAGAGCTGGTCTTCAATCAAGTGGGCAGAACTGTGCAGGGGCTGAGAGGTTTTATGTTCATCGCGATGTTTACAATGCTTTTGTTGCTCAGGTGGTCAAGATTGTCAAGTCTGTTACAGCGGTGCGTTTGCAGTTTAGAAACTTCAAGATGCTTAAATTTACTGTAGTTTAGTTATAATCAATATCTGAGTTGTTTTTTTTAACCAGCCTACTTCCCCCCCTCCCCCCTACTTTTCAAGTCTGTTGTATATGGTAGCTCTTATTTGGTTACTCTGATAAGTAGTGTTTATTTGCTTTAAAGCTATAAATCTTTTTTTTTTTATAGATTTTCTCACGGTTGAAGTTTAAATTGGAATCCGCAGGGCCCTCCTCTCGCAGGGAAATGTGATATGGGCGCAATTTGTATGCAAGACCATGTGGAAAAGCTTCAAAGCCTTGTAATCGACGCCTTGGACAAAGGAGCAGAGATTGCTGGTCGTGGACGATTCGGGAATTTGGGGACGGATGCTGTTGATCAGTTTTTTCCACCAACTGTACTAGTAAATGTGAACCACTCCATGCTCATTATGCAAGAAGAGGTAATTCATGTATATTGATGGTACAAATTTAGGAACTAGATGAGACATAATTTTTTTTTTTCACCAGCCGGCATAAGCTCTGATCACATCTGATGCATGTGAGTTAGCTGTGAGATATGACCGCGCAAGACCGAGAGTAAATAATATTATAATTAATGGAGAGTGTTTCAAATTATGCTAGTTTACCACTTTACCCCATTCTCGTCATTACTTGGCACCTCAAACTCATTGTATAGTCTTCGGTGATGTCCAGGCTTTTGGACCAATCATGCCCATCATGAAAGTTAGCTCTGACGAGGAAGCTATCAGGCTGGCAAATGACTCAAGATTTGGGCTTGGCTGTGCTGTATTTTCTAGAAGTCAGAGTCGAGCCAGAAGAATTGCATCACAGCTACACTGTGGAATTGCCGCAATTAATGACTTTGCATCTAATTACATGTGCCAGGTACCTTTATTTTTTTTTGTATATAATTTTAGTATTATGATGTCTTTAAAATTGGAAAACATGATTTCAAAGATACAAAGTAATAATTGTGAGTCACAGTATGTTTTAATGGTGTATATGTTGTATTGTTTGATGAGCATGTGGTTTTAGTACATTTTCTTTTTTCCTTTTCACAATACGTATTATTTCTAGTCTCCTTGAGATTTAGAGTCAATGTATACTTGATTCTCTTTAAACTGCTTACTTTGCTTATATATCAAATCATTTTCAGTCCCTACCTTTTGGCGGTGTAAAGGACAGTGGCTTTGGTAGATTTGCTGGTATCGAGGGGTTAAGGGCCTGCTGTCTTGTAAAATCAGTGGTTGAAGATAGATGGTGGCCATACGTCAAGACCAAAATACCGAAACCCATTCAGGTTTTCTTACAAACATTTGAGTTATTTTCAACAATGGGTGCCTTGCTTAGCAACACTGAACTAACTTTTCTCCTGCCCATTGCAGTATCCTGTTGCAGATCATGCCTTTGAATTCCAGCAAACTCTGGTTGAAACACTTTATGGTTTGAACATATGGGACCGCTTGCGAGCCTTGGTTAATGTCATTAAGGTTTTAACTGAGCATAACTCACCTAGTGCTGGCAGCAGTAGGAGAAGTGATTGAGTCTTGTTTGCAGACTTCTTTTAACTCCAGAGAGGGAAAAAATGAAGAATATCTGAATTTTGACTACGCAATTGTGTATATAGGAGGGTCATTGGTGCAAGTTTGTCCACTAATTTTCAAACTCTAGGTGATGCTTATGAGCTGATGGCATTCATGTGTAGGCTATACATAAAATTCAGATGCAGTGACTGTTCAGAAGTAGTCATTAGCTTACCATGTTGGCAATTTTGCAACTTACAGTCACAATCTGGATATGAAAACATGTTTTTATCTCATGCTTTTTACATTACCACGTGTCCACGTGTACTGATGTTTTCAAGCTATGGAATGTATGGATCATAGCTTCACTGAATGGCTTAATACTTTTTGTCGGTCTATATACACTAGAAGGTTACTAAAATTCGTAATTAGGGCACCAGTGATCTTCCAAGGAGTCATTTTCTGCCGTCGCGTACTCCTTGAAGATGGTTTTCTGCTGGCTACAGTTAACAATTGCTATCAGGTATCTTTCATTTTTTGTTAAAGTCTTGCAAAGGTATTTTTTTAAACAATATTTCTGAATTGATATGTATTAGAGATCGTAGGTCCGTAATGGTCATGAACATCTAATAACTTTGTTGTAACTCCGAAGAAACTTCCCTACATTCATAAACTTCCCAAAAACGCACGGTTATGAACTCTGACATTTGTTACTCCTGGATTCAAATGCCAAAGTAAGCAAATGTCAAAGGACAATTTGGTCACATTAACTACTTATTAGATCTAATACTTTAGGGGAGGAGGAATCTGGGTTGAAGTAAACTACATTATATGTGGATTTTTTGTGTATAAAGCGAATGTTTGTGGATGGCTGAAAATTTTAAGAATATTGTTTGATGCTTGGTAGAAAAGAATTATTAAAATAAAGTTCAAACAATAGTATATCTGCTCACAATGGGTCACTATCCAAATACCTAATATTAATGTACTAGGTACGAGAAGACTTAGATGACTTTTTTTTTTTTTTTTGAAGAAAAGAAGACTTGATGACTAGTCTAAAGAGAGCGATTTTAAAACACCACGTCATATTATTAGCTATGCTATTAAAATGCAAGCAAGGTTATCCCACTGATGCATGTAAGATTAGCAGAAAGTATCAAAACAGTGTATAAGAAAAGCACAAATAGACTACATTTCCATGATTAGATAAAAAGGTAAAATGATTGTTCGAGCTCAAAAAAGGATAATGGAGAAGGTGAAACCACTAAAATAAGAAATACTAGAATGTATTTTTTTAGCTACATACACTTGAAAAATGAAAATACTGTCTAATTTTCGGCAATTTGGTACTAGTTCCTAGATTGTGCTTCAAGCAAGAAATTCTGACGAGTGTAGGAGAAGGTGAAAATCTGTACGTATTCAAATCTACGCACTCGAAAATTCTGTCCAGTTTCTCGTGTAATGGTATTAGTTCTTAGATTGTGTATCAAGTCATCACATTTATCATATCACCCTTTAATCCTTTATATACAGGGTAGCTTGAATGTTCTACGTTAGTTTCCAGCATTCGACTTGGTTGAGATTCGTCCTTTTCCCATTAAAAGAAGTCATCTTAAGATTCCGATCGCTAACATATATATATATGGGTTTCCTGTCCTTTTTTATGCCTGTAAAACTTCTGGTTTTATCTAGCTACCTAAGGTGATCTACATATCCAGGTTAGTTTGCTTGATTATTTTCCTTACCCTTAATGCTTCAAGCTACATGCGAGCATTACCTAATTTATGATCGTGATATGCTTTAAGTGTACTCGAAATTTGCATGATAATGTTCTTAATCTAAAGTTTTAGTTCTTGGATACTTGCATGTATCAATATATGATCTAATTTTAACACTCATAAGTTATTTTTTATGCATGCTAGAGGGATGATGAAGCTCATGGAAGCAGATCATTCTGAGAAACAAGAAAGAAGAGATCAAATCGCGCTTGACATTACACGATTAGAGCCAGTTGATGAAGACCTCACTACTTCCATAAGAGAGAAATTGGAGGCCATTTCATTTCCATGCAGTATATACTATGTCCCAGACAGGTTTTTGACCGGAGAAGATTTCGACAAGTATTATTATCCTCAGATGGTCTCAATCGGTCCCTTTCATCATAATAAAATTCATTTACAACACATGGAAAAACACAAATGGGAGTATCTAAATGCCCTTCTAGGTCGAAATCTTAACTTAGACTCCACTTTAGAATCTTGTGTTAAGGTTGTAAAGGAATTGGAGCCCAAAATTAGAGCATCTTACCAAGGGAATCTTTCAATCCAAAGCGACGAGTTCATACGAATGATTCTTCTTGATGCTTGTTTCATCATTGAGCTCTTCTTAAGGTATGCTATTAGAGGCTTAAGGAGGAGAGATGACCCATTGTTTAGATCACCTGAAAAGTTTCATACTTTGAGGAATGACTTGAGCTTGTTAGAGAACCAAATCCCATTTTTCGTTCTTCAAAAGATTTTTAATGTTGTCCCAATTCACAAGGATGGTTATAGTTCAATTTCCGAGCTTAGTTTAAGGTTTTTCAAACCTTTAATTCCCACAGATGTACAATTATTACAAGAAAAATATAGCTTTGAAGGTAGCTATCATTTGCTTGATTTGATATGGAAATCTTACCTCCCTTCATTTTCAAAAGTCCATTTGGGTAAAAACACTGGCTTTGGCAGAATTCTGCAAAGCGCGTCTGAAGTACAACAATCAGGAATCAAGGTAATTCTTTGAGTTATACATCCAAAATACAAGATCAGGGCAATTTTACTACTAGTATAAAAATCTTCAATTCTATTTATATGTAAATTTTCCCTAGAATACATACACAGATTAGAAATTTACATGTTTTTTTATAAGCAAAGTACTAACATAATCTTTTGTGCCTAAGCTGGAATAGGTAAAAGCAATAGAAGCAGAGAGTATTCTGGATGTGAAATTTGGTAATGGAGTACTTTTCATCCCATGTATGAACATTCATAGTTACATGGCAGCTTTATTTCGGAACCTCGTAGCAATGGAACATTGCCATAGTGAGAAGATGAAGCATATTACATCCTATGTCTTCCTAATGAAAGGCTTAATACAATCACAGAAAGATGTGAAATTATTTTATCGACGACATATTATCTTAAGCTATGTTGGGAAAAAGGATGACCTAGTCAATCTGTTCAAGAATATGTGTGGAAATGTAGACTTAGATAAGTTTTATTATGAGGGGATGTGGGATCAACTTAAGGATTATGGAGGAACTAAATGGGAGGTTTGGTTGTGCAAAATGAAGCGCAAGTATGGGTTGATTCGTTGTAAAGTTTCAAGAGTTACGTTGGGAGTTTCATTTTTATTAGTTGTGTTGGTTGGAATTTTGGTTGTAATACTTTATTTTTTTATTTCTCGTCGCCATCATTAGACATTGTCTAACAAAATTACTTGAATGCATAATAAACAGATTTTATGGGAAATGCATAATAGATGGTGGAATAATTTTAGTAAAAGGATTAATGGTTGTGCAACAAATAGTCAAATATGAATGAAATTGTACATATGAAATATGTCCAAAGGTTTTGAAGGAATTATATACATTACATGTTATACTTAGTTTTAGCGAGTGTTTTAGGTGATCAGTGTAATTTCAAACGCCTCAATTCTTGAAAAAACTATAAAAAATAAATAAATAAAAAAAGAGAGAGACAAAAGTTATAGTCAATACGCTATTAGGCTTATTGTACTGATAATTAGTAGGGAATAAGTGGATAACAAAGGTGTATATGCCAGTTTACCAGGTACCTATTGAGTGTATTGGTCAGCTGATATGACTCAAATCCTTTCCAATATCTACATTCTAATGATTTGGATAGTGATTTTGGAAGCTTTGTAAGTAGTCCAAGTACTGAGACTAAGGAGCTGCTACCCGTAGTTGCTTTACAGAATGAGTCTTTGGCTTTCCATGACTGACATTGCATTTTACAGATTCTGGATACGAAAACATGTTTCATTCATAGCTTCTGCGAAATTATATTTACTGAATGTTTGGAATTATTCGTAAGTAATGTATTGAAGCTCAATGAATTGAGTCAGGACTACAGAGAGATTGAATATTTATAACTTAAGGGCACGCGTGATCTCCCAGGGGACCATGTCATTTTCTGCAGTCACACATTCCTTGAAGATGGTTTCCTGCTGATCACAGTTCACGATTGCTATCATGTATCTTTCGTTCTCCAGTGAACATGGGTAAATAACTTGTTCCTCCTGAATGCCAAGAGTAGCAACAATTAGATGACGATTAAGCTTAATGCTAATATATTGTCTTTCAATGGAAAGTCCTGAAAATTTCTACCACCGGCAACTTTATTTATACCATTAAGCACAAATGTCCCAAAATTTGAGCAAAGGATTCCCAATACTAAGGACAAAATTGAATTGGAATCATTTATTTTAAAAAAACATTCCAATCTTGACAGTAAATAAAACAGGTGTCTTATAAGAAAAGGAGAATAGGTGATGAAGAAGCATACCTCAGGCAATTCATAGAATTCATCTGGAGATATTTGCAGTAGTTCAATCGCATTTTGACCAGTGCACCATGCAAAGACTTTACCACTATCATCAGCCACAGTTATTTTTACATGGAAAGTGCGTCTTGTTTTCATCTCACAGCTGCAGCAACAAAATTCACATTCCACAGAACCACTTGCAGTTGTCTTAACAAAATGACCACAAGTAACGTGTGCCAATCTTGTATTAACATGACAGTAATCAATTTGGTCCAGCCACACCCTGCAAATCTGATCGGTATTGACAGCAGCATGAGAAACAGGGTAAGAGTTCTGAACAATTTAACTTATTATCAGATTTAGTTTGTATCTCGCGAGAAATAAGGTATATTCTCATTCAGGAATCAGTTAAACCTCATCTCACAGTGAGAACGCCCTCCCCCCTCTCTTACTATTGTGGTTAAATCCTACCCAGGTTATATTTTTCACAGCCAATCCTATTCTAAAAGACAGGAAGCAGCCAAATAAAAAAAGGCAATAAAACTGAATTAAAGGTTACAATTGTATTCTTCAAGTATTGTCAGATTTAAGTATGTAGTATAGTGGCTTAAGAATAAAGAATATTAACGATAAGTAAAGTTCCTGTTTAAAGAGTATAGCGAAATTTTACAGGATTGACCAAATAAACCGGGAGAATATATTAGTCAAGAGAAGATAACTTTCTCAGTCACGAGCAAGCACAAAGGTACTACTCCAGAGACTTCACCATTTAAGCTTAGCTAATTCTACACGAGAATACTTTTTGAAAACCCCAAGCTTCAGCTTTGGCTAAAGATGCAAAGGCACTTAGGCAGAGTCTATAAGAGTTAACAGCTCCAGATCTTAGTTTTAACCAGAAACAAAAATGTAGTATAGCAGAGACAAAGACAAATTTAACCAGTCATAGGCTATGCTACCAACATGCAAGTGCAATTATCGAACTTATGAATGCTATCTAGCATTAAATCACTTAAAAAACACATAATCAGCCAGGTGATACAAAAGATACCAACTTGTGAAAGACATACATGTGTACCAGTATTCTGCCTTGAAATATCAGCAAGATAAGATGGCTTGTGGAGACAAGATGAGTTCAGGATTGCAGGCAAGCAACTTAAGTTGACAAAGGAAGTTCCAGGAGCATTTTCAAACCATCGCGCTTCTAGACTGTCAAAGAAACTTGATATATTACAATCTGAGGTGAGGCTGTACAAAATTTTATATTACATTACTTGAACCAGATTACAAGAACTGGTCAGAGAAATCAATAGCAAATGAAGATAAAAAGTTATGTGCATATTAATAATCATTGGAAAAAGTGGAGAGCTCACCCCTTGTGTTTTGTCTTGGCGCATGTCAAACCAGAGATGTACACAGTGTGACCAAGACTCAATCTCCCTAAAGACCTGAAGATCATAATTGAATAAATCAACAAACAAATTGATTCTCTAACGAGGAGACATTTTTCAAAACTTCAAATTGTCTATAAGTAATACCAAGATTCATTAAAATGCAGCTTCACACAAATAGCTCCTGTTGGATCTTGAATCTTCATAGTAAAGATAGATTTTGCAGTATTTGCTTCTCGAGAGATGTCCATAACTGCACCGTAGATGCTAATGCCAGTCATCTTCTCATGCAGATCAACAATAAAAGACTGCAAGACTGAACAAGTAAGACATTGGTGAAGATTAAGAATATTAAATACATTAATATATAGTTACATTTACAGCAGAGGACTACACAAATGCACAATACAGGCAAGCAATTAGACAATCATGTTGTGTGATATCAGTCTCCTTCAATTACAAGATTAATTTATTAATGTGTATCTAACAGGGCATTGAATTTTTTTTGTCAAGTGCATCAGTAGATGGCTAGGTGGGCAGACCAACAACGTTTATTTTGCATAATAACAGTCTTAATAGAATTTTAAGAAAAGCATAATGCTGTTGACTTGTCAAGGTTACAAAAATGGAAATTGTATCTGTAAATTACAAGATTATAGGGTAAATGTCAACATAATTACACATCTATTACTCAAATTATTTAAAAGAGAACTAATATCTAGAGACAACTCACCTGAAAAGGATAATTGCTGAAATCAACTGAGCCTTGAGAATCACATGGCAGAGTCATTTGAGAGGCTTTAGGGCCTTGAGTAGGACATGAAGCTGTAGCTAGCCTTGATCCTCGTAATCGATTTGGAGTCAATCCTAGACATATCTAAGCCCAGAGACATCACTTATTCTGTTCTTCCTGAAATATAGTGCTGTAAAAGAAATAAAAAGTACCTGTTCCTCTTGCCGAACAAATGGAACTAGATATAACTGAGTTGCACTGCCATATTCAAGACAAACACTTCCACATGTCTCCACATCACTCTCCGAAGAACTACCAATGAATGGTCTATCAATTGCAAGCATACTTTTAACACTGCACAAATGATGTACTATTAGTATAACTAGTAACAAAACACTAATGCCAGAAACAAAGAAGCTAGAACAGGAGAGTTATACCTAAAGAGATTAGCCAGCGCAACTTGCTCACCCCATAATAGAAAGCTCATCTCAGAGTTGTCATTATCAACTAACTTAATCTGCTTCCTCTGTATACCACCAAACTTCTCCAAATTTTCAAGAGGCCCTATCGATTCTATCCTATATACAGTATGAGAGTCTTAGAAAAAGGAGCTAACAAAGCCAGATTAATGCAAACCACAGCCAAATTTAGCGAGCTGATGTCAGATGGGATGTTGCCCAACCCAATTAAAAAAATCTAACCAACATAATTTCAACTAGAATTGACATGTTACCGACATTAGTCATCCATGCACAAACAATTCTATGCAATAAACTGATGCAAGGGGGAGGGTCTCTTTAGGCAATCTTAAGGAAAAAAATCTACATACAGAGAAAATTACGGACAGGGAAAGCATGCTAAATATTGTTTTATCCTATTTATTTGGGAGAGAATAAGCCTCTCAAAAGCTTCTGTTTATCAATTTATCTTATGCAATATTCAAACTCTTAATTCAAACCTGTTTTTATACATTATTCCTTATCTCTAATTCGTCCAAGCTATTTTAGATCATAGCATAAATATAAGAATTTACCAGGGGAATAAAATTTGCTAAAATTCCTATTTGCACACTGGGTTTATGGGGATTTGTTTTGGGGCACAGGATGTATTTACAACCAAAGTTACAGTCACCAAATCCAAGAATGTTCTTTTACCTGGCATATAATGAATAAGATACCCCTTCATTAGCACCATCAAGAGAAATAGAGGAGAATGAGTCTGTACAAAATTGAGCACCCAGTAGCATGGCATCATCGTCTTGCTCCTACAATAATGCAATATTTAGCCAAAGCATGTTATCTTACAAGTTCCTTGGCTCAGAGATACACATGTCTAAATACATAATTTGAACTGGCTGGACATACCTCAAACTAACACCAAGGAATCAAAAAATAGTATATAATCAAGCAGGACTACTCTTATTCAGTTATTACGAGACAAACAAGAGAAACAACAAGGACCTGTGGCATATCTAGCAAAGAAATCATGGCAGTATCTATTTGCATAGCCTAAAGCCCTAAACTTCCAGGAGCCACAATCAATTACATCTTTTTTTACAATTTTGCATATATCTTTATCTTAACTGATTTATCCTTTTATATATAAATCTCACAGATCAACTCCATTTCCTCTCAGCTCCAATGTACCAAACAATTCAACAATGTACTTACATTGTTCATGTATATGTGGTAGTCATACATTTTTGCTCATAAAATTCCGATACAGAAATTTATTAATGACAGCTTACAGAAAGAAGATATGGCTGAACAAAATTTCACAGCTGTTCTTCAAAAGACCTTACCACTTCTCAACATACTCTAAGTATGCCAGCACTAATTTACAGAAGACAGGTATTTAATTTCTGTGCCAATAAGCCTTAATTATTCTACATGGACTAAAAATTATAATTATGTAGTGGATATGCACTTCTATTCCCATTTTACAAGATCAAGTGAAGGGAGAAACATGAAACTTGGGTAAGGAGACTCAAAAGAAGCAGTTATGTAAAGGAGGTATTTGATGATACAAGAACAGCTACAGATTGAATGGGAATAGTGTTCAAAAATAGTTATTCTTTCCTACTCTTATATAAGAAAATCAACAAAATTAGAAACTTGTAAGATGCAATAGTTGTATGAGACAGTCTAGCCATGTATTCAGCACTTGGAATTATTATGTCAAAATCTCAAAATGCTTGTTTCAGAAAAGGCAGTATCTAGCTCTGGTAGCCAAAAAAAGTCATCACAGCTTTAACATGTCAACATCACAAGAGAATCAATCATCAAAACAGAGCTCAGAGCTCAATTGATTACCTCATCCAACAGAATCACCAGATATTCTGTTGGCAAAAGTCGAGGATGGCCAGAACCTTCATTAGCACTTCGAAGATAGCACCCTGTGAGAAACACTTCCCTCCCTTTCCTTAAAATTCCATTTTGAGGAGATGCCAGATCATAATACCTGCAATATGTTGTACCAAAGGTTTCAAATCCATTACCAATGTGACAAACTTTATTCTATTATGTCAAAAATGTATACATTTCAGTAGAGGATATTTGATAATGGATTAATAGGTGTGAAGTGACTTGATGTATGAAGTAAACATGTAGCAAGACTGCATTCCTTTGTACCTTAATCAAACTTAACACACCAACAGCATACTTGGCATGGTCATGGGGATTAAAGACCTATTCTTTTCACCTAAAGAAATAAGTTTCAGGTCTAACAAGTTAACCTCTAGGTTATAATTTCTGATGTCTAAGGCTAACAAGTCCACATAAGTTCAATTCAGGCTTAAAATATAGGTGAATTTTAGTTTAAGAAAATTATATATTCAGATAAGTTCAAATGTGTTCAATCCACACTTTACAAGTTCTGGTGGAAGTCTTCTTCACAAAGACTGAATACTAAACATAATACAAGACAGTTGGCTAGAAGAGAATGATGCGATAGCAAATTTCTGATAGTTAACATGTTATAGATCTGTACCTTCTGTGGAGATAAAGATCAATAGTATTTGAGCTCCAAAAATCACCCAGAGTAATCATGTTGATCTTTGTTCCTGAAAAAGGTAGACATTTATACGTTATGTTACTCCAACTTCAATCCACCTTTAGTACCTGTGTCAAAAAAATTGAAGCTTGGACATAGGAATTACACTTCAACACTTCATTTATTTAGGACTAAAATCATGCAAAATTTTCATAAAAAGGTCACGCCTGACACTTCTAGTCTACTTTGAGTAACACAGTCTATACATAGTTATCCAATGTAGAGGAACACATAAGTGAGAATGTGAGATTTAGTCTGTCCTCCACACTATATCATTTATTCTCCCTTTTTTCTCCTTCAATACCTCCCTCGAGTTTAAGAAAACCAAAAGTTTTCAAGACAAACATGGACAAACATATTAGACAACCCCAAAGATAAGATATCAGAGAAGAAATATTTCTTACCACAATTTGGAAGTTATCTGGTTCATTATAATTAAATATTCTATCAATATTTCCAACAAAACTCAAGCTCTCACCTAAAGGGACTCCAAGTTGGTTAAACATGCATAACTTTTCTAATAAAACTAAACTTGCGAAGAGGTAGTTTCCATGGATTCTTAATAAACAATGCATCCATATCATTTGCCCACTGCCCTTAGAAAAAGAAAGAGAAGGATAATTTACTAAAGCATTCAATCAAGTTCTTCATAATTCAGAGCTGAAATTTCCCACTAGTTATTCTTCAAGTCCTCACTGTGAGAGTGTGAGCAGGTAAGCAATACGTATTTGACCACGGAAAAATTGAATAAACTCTTATAACTTTATCATGAAACCTAAACTATAAAAGATTCATAATGGTGAGATTCACAGAAACATCTTCATCAAAACATAAGTAACTTGTGATCATCGGCATAAATAAACCCTAAATCAATAAACTACCAACCTGGGAGAACAAAGGTATCAACAACCACAGCTTCTAAAACACTATTCAGAGACAAAAAATTCTTCTCATATATTGTATCAATTGTAACTGTATTCGGCAGCTTAGATCTCTTATGTTTCTTCTTCAGTTGGTTGATGCAATCAGGCCTTTTTGTAGGCGCACTTGTTTTTCTCTGTTCATTCCATGCCTGCCAACTCCAATCAACCAAAGACACAAACTACAATTAATCAACCACTCGTCACATTTAGCCACCTATATAATTTTAAGCATTTTGCACTTAATCATGTTATCAAATTTTCAATCTTAATCTAAAGCACCTGATTCATATCAATTTTGTAATAGAACCAAAAAAAAATTAAAAATATGCAATTGAATTGATTGAAAGTTGCCATACTTCTTAGATTAATTCATCAAACCTAGACTGCAATAAACATGAAATTACACAAATTAATAGAATTCGAAAGTACAAATGTTGAAATAATTGAAATTGCAGGACACCTCAAATAATTTCATCAAACCTAGCCTACAATAAACTTGAAATTCTACAAATTAGAAGAAAATGAAAATTTTAAAAAAAAAAAATGTGATATGATTGAAACTGCAGGATACCTTAGATTAATTCATCAAACCTAAACTACAATAAACTTGAAGTTCCACAAATTAAAACAAAATGAAAATAAAAATATGTCAAAATGATTGAAACACACCTTAAATTAATTCATCAAACCTAGACTACAAAAAAAATGTCAAAATAATTGGAAATCGCAGAGACCTTAGATTAATTCATCAAACCTAAAGTACAATAAAATTGAAATTCAACAAATTAGAAGAAAATGAGATAAAAACAGAAAATAAAATGTTGACCTGAGAAAGTTCAGAGAGAAGAATGGCGGCGGTAACACCACTGGAATACGAAATGCAAGTCTTGAGTACACGAGAAGCAATCCAACTCCAACCAGGACCTTCTCTTTCTCTCTCCTCAGTGTCGGGAGTAGGTTCATCGTCTTCGTCGACATCGTTGAGTGGAGGAGAGAGAATGGAGCTTGCGTAATTGATGAATTCGATGAATGGATCGATGTCGTCTTGTTGCTGCTGCTGATGATCTTCGAGCTCGTCGTCTAAATCCATGGCGGAAGAATCCATTGAAGGTTTGGAAATGGAGGATTGTGTAACTGTTGTTTGAAGCAAGGAACAAGATTTTGGAGTTTCGGCAGCCGTAAGAAAGTGTTGGGTTTGCGCGGGAAAATAATAGCTTAGGTCATTGTGTATTTGTTAATTTGTGGCCTTGTAGGAAAACCATATTTAATACGAAGTATTTTTTATTTATGCGGAGTACGTAATAATAAGGGTAAGTTTACATTTATTAAATTAAAATGAACTAAATTGAATTGATTGGAGCTGAGATTAAGCTGAAGTGAACAGGTTCTAAATATAGTCTTGTGAATACGGAGTATATAATATTTGAATCGTCTCAGTTAATAGTTTATTAATATTTAATTAATATTATTTATTTTTACATATTGATAATTAAAGATATATACTAATTGAAATTATTTTTAAAGTGAAGAAGAGAACTGAGCATATGACTAATAGTAGGACCCATTACTATTTTACAAGTACTCCACATTTTTGTTTATTTTTTTTTTATCAAAGGAAGGAAAAATTTGCCAATTGCAGCCATTTGAACTTTGTACTTTGTAAATTGCTGTCATTTAAAAAAAAAATCAAATTGCAGCCCATAACTATTATAAATTGTAAATTACAACCTAATTCAATATTTCATCGGTTTGTGTGTCGAAAAATTTTCAGTTAAGGTTGTAGTAGCCATTTTAAAAAATTGCAAACCAAACCGCACTTTAATGTGGTTTGCGGTTGTTATATTTTATTTTTATTAAAAAATATAAAAGAATTAAAATATATTATTAGTGCCAAACCAAATCAAACCAAACCAAACCGCACTTTAATGTGGTTTGCCAATTATATTTTAATGTGCTTATTTTTCACTATTATTAGTTAATTGAAGGTTAAAAAAAGAGTTTAATATTTGGATTATAAATTAATAATTACAAAATAACATAAAACTTTTGTTTTTAAAAAATAATTATAATTATAAAAAAATATACTGGTTAAATCGTAAATTACACCGCATTTTACGCCGTGATTTGGTGTGGTTTGATTAGAAGTGCGGTTTGGAAAAAATACAAAGTGCACCGTGAACACTAATCACATGTTCATAGACATTTACTTTAACAAAAACCTTACTATTCAATTTAAGGCAATTAAATACGACTTACATTACATAATTAAATTAATTAGGAATTCCCTCGAGGGGAGGGCTTACACGATAAGTTTTGCCACCTTTTCTTTTTTCATTTTTTTTTTCTTACAGATATTTTTATGTTTTTGGTTGGAAAACTTGATGAAAAATACTTAGTATTAGTCAGATTGTAAAAATTATATGCCATGAACTCTATTAAAAGGTTAATTTCTTATATGCCATTAACTCTATCAAAAGGTTAAATTCTTATATGCCATTAACTCTAAAAAAATTTATAACCACCAAAAATCTACTAAGGTAAGGGTGTCTAAGACTAATAAATAAAAAATAAAAATAAAAATAAAAAAATCTAACGATCAATATGCTGTGAAATCTATTTGGTCCAATAATACATCGGTCATTATCTTGTCATAAAAACTATCAAAATCCGGCACGATATCCTGAAGACCAGCATAGATGGAGTTATTCAGACCATCATTGTCGGAGCTGATGAGGTCGTTATTGCTACTAACCAAGCCATCATTGTCGTAGCTGATGAGGTTGCTGCCGTTAACCATGCCGTCATAATTGTCATAGCTGATGAGGTTGTTGTTGTTGTTAACCAAACCATTATTATTATTTTCGTAGCTGATGACGTTGTTGCTGTTAACCAACTCATAATCATAACCTACAAATTGGTAATTGTTGTTGGTGACAGAGGAGGGGTTCGAGCTAGTGTTGGAGAATTGTTGATTGTTAATTTCTTGTTCGTGGCTATCGATGTTTTCCTCCTCCACTTCTTTATTTTCTTCTTTAACTTGTACATCTTTTATTTCTTTTTTGGCTCCTCTATTGTAGTAGATTCTACATAGCACATAATCCAACTGTATCTCATCCAAAAAAAAAAAAAAACAATTAGAATATATATATTATCTCCGTTAATTTTTAGTTGCAACAAAGAAACGATATTATTACACGTACCCTCATACTAGTATTGGTATCTTGTTGATGATCTCGTTTCCTCTTAGGTATTAATTTGGGTTGATCAGGGACTCGTAACTCTAGCATATGCCAGTGCGTCTTATGATTATTATTCTTTTTCTTATCCTTTTTGTTATTGTTAGATTTTCCCTTGAAATACACCAATGATCTTTGGTGTCCGATCAATGTACCATCATCGTCTTTGATTGGGTGGTCTTTTCCGGTGGCTTTCCAAAACCCATCGCCGGCTTTTCGGTCAGGACGACTCCCGTTCTGGTATTTTTTATTCCGTGATGTGAAAAAATACCAACTTTTACTTTTTCCTTTTCCTTATGGATTGAATCTGGCTGCAAGGGTTAAATTACAAAAACAAATTACTCTAAACTAAAAAAGTCATCATATACGATCCTAAATGATAGTCTAATTGCAATATCTGAAAAAGAAAAATACATGCTTATGACAAGTAGGTTTTTAATTTATTTTTATTTTTTATAACCCTAATCCGAGTAATTTACTTAAATTCAAAAACCCTGATTATGCTAGGGTTACTCGGTCAAGGGATACTTAGTCATGGGTTACTCGGTCAGGGAATACTTAGTTAAGGGTTACTAGGTCATCAAGATTTATTCGGTCAGGGTTTACTTGTGTGTCAGCCGGCCACAATGTAATCGTGTAGCGAAAACGCATTGAATATGTATTACTACCTCCGGTCCAAATTACTCGCAACTTTGGAATATTTTATGTCTCACAAATAATACCCCAAAGTTACGAATAATTTGGACCGGAAGTAGTATATGATAAATTTTAATTTATAAAAAGACTGCTAAAAAGTAAGAATACGAAAGATTAATAATTACATCCAAACAACAAAGAATAGAGTAAATATGCTTTTGTGATTTTAGTTATTTTCGGCTAGCATAAAAAAAAAACGTATTAGTAGGGCAATTGTACGTACCAGTGAGATCTTCAGGACCGTAGACGTTGATATTGTCAAGTTTGTGTATTGGATTCAGAGGCAAATCAAATCCATTGATCTTGGGTTTGAGATAATGAGTGATTAGTTCTTTATTATAAGGCTCAAATCTGTAGCCCGGTGGAAGGTTAACGAAAGATTCTCCACGTTTTTCTTCCATTGTATATCTTAGAGGTTTAGAGAAACAAACTTACGTTGTTGATGAGTTAATAATAATTGCGATAATCAAAATTTACTATTATAATTTGTCTTCACTTCGTTTTCACTTTTATAACCTTTGGCCATGCAACGTGAATTTGATGAAATTTGATACGGAGTATAATTCTATAGATAATAGGATAAGATATAGTTAAATATATATCATTAACTAACCGTGTGTAAAAAAAAAAAAAAAAAAAAAAAAAAAAAAAAAAAAAAAAACCTAACCAACTAACCGAGTATAATATCTATTACTAGTTGAATTTTGTACAAATTCTATCTAATACTAGTATGTAATTTACAATAGGCCCGCTTGTTCAAAATTATCCGCAAAAATTTGATAATTTGATCTACAATTGATCCGAAATTTCGGAAATTGGATGCGGATAATTCGATCCACAATCAATTTGAAATTTTGGAAATTGGATGTGGATTTGGATATTAATTTTAAAATATTTGGATATCCGATTTGATATCCGAAATATAAAGGCTGAAATAGTGAAATATATATAAATTTTTTTTAATTTTTCATATAAAACGAATCATGTTTTATTCACTTATAATAATATACTCCCTCCGTTTATATTTTTGATTCCACCATTAGGACTTTTACACTATTCACTTAATCTTCTTTAACCATCATTTGTGATTTATCCATTAGAAAAAATATAGTCACGTGGGATCTAGTTAGATTTGTCTTGAAATCTTCTTTTCAAATATCAAATTTTTATAATTTTTGCAAAAGTATAATTAAAGATAATAACAGCTAAAGTAATGCATTGGCAAGCGTGAAATCCCTCATAATGCAATAAAAAAAGAGTATTAATATTCTTAATATATTGATGATAATTTTAATTACAAAAAGACTATTATTTTTCCCGTACAAAAAAAAAATTAGTATATAAGGTGTACAACTTAGCAATTAAAAAGATAAAGTTATAAATTTAGAAAATAATTATAATCTAATATATATATAAATAAAGTAGGCATTTTTTGAGAGCATTGGGAGCGCCACATAAGAAAAGGTATATTTTCGATCAATCAAAAATTAGATTTTTATTTTATTTTAGAATTAAAAAAATCACTCGCCACCTAAACAAAAGTGACGAATGAAATTTTAAATTTTTGCCATGTAGGTAAAAACGACGAATAGTAATTTATTAGGATTTTAATTATTTAAGAACACTCAATTTTATCATTTTTATTTGTTACAAAACTAAATATTATCTTTAGATATTCGGATTTATATTATTTAAAAAACTAAAAATTATATTTTGATATTTAAAAAATATAAACTATCATTTGATGTTAATGGTTTTATGTAAATATCTAATGATATGATACTTTCATACAAAATTTTAAAACTTATAATGCAAGAAAAAAATTAAGAGATCACCAAAAAAAATATTTATATACAGAATGTATATAAAAATTCGTGCATCGCACGCCACATAAGCAAACGTAATATTTTGACCAATGAAAAATTAGATTTATAATTAATTTAGAATTTTAATTTCCAGTCGCCATTTAAGAAAAAATTAACAAATGAAATTTGAGAATTGAAAACAAAAAATAGTAATTTAATATTTAAATTATGAAAAAAAAACAAAAATTATCTTTTATATTATCTTTTACATTATGATTTATATTATTTTAACAAATAATTAGAAATTAAAAATATATTTGGATTTAATGATTTTATCTAACTATCCCATGAATGAGATGATACTATTTATTTCAATTTATATATTCAAGTTCTATATACGTAAAATTTGAATAAGAATAATTTAAAACTTAGCAAAATATTTTACCTTAAATTAATGTTAAAATAATAGAATAGAAAATAAAAACAAAAAAAATTAAGATATTACAAAAAAATATACAAAATGAAATATTTAAAAACCGTGCATCGCATGGGCTTACATCTAGTCAATTTTAATTAATACTTCGTATTGGATAATGGATATCCAGAAATTTTCAGATGGGATTTAGATATTAATTTTTGATATCGGAGTATATATTCAGATATCTAACGGGTAGGGTAAAATATATCATGAATATGGGCCTGTTCACATTTACTTAATTTCAGTTCAGTTAAGCTCCAATCAGTTCAGTTCAGTTCAGCTCTTAATTTCCCTCTCTCATAAAATATTCATTTCAGCTTAGTTCAGTTCAGTTCAGCTCCAATCAGTTCAGTTCAGTAAATGTGAACAAGCCCTATATTTAGTTCCTCAGCATTTAAAACTACTCTAATACAGTAATAATTTTTTAAAAAATGTCTTAAAAAAGTCATCTGTATAAAGCCCTTTACAAATTAAATATGAAGTATAATTGTATAATTACCATGATATGGATACGGATACGGATACGAAGCACAAAAAATAATACTTGTGCAAATCAATACTCCTTCGTATTTAAACAATTTTTTTTACTTTTTTTTTTTTGAAGGGACAATTTTATTTTACTTACTTCCTCCGTTTTCTTTAAATTGGCACGTTTCTTTAGTCACGTTTACCAACGCACAACTTCAACTATTTATATCTTTAATACCGATAAGCAAAAATTATGAAAATTTGATATTTTAAAAATATATATCGTGATGAATTTAATAAGATCCCGCAGGAGTACATGACTATATTTTTCATTATGTATAAATCACAAAACAAGGTCAAATGAAAGTGTGTAAGTAGCACTAAAGTAAAAAACGTGTCAACTAAAAAACGGAGGTAGAATTTATTTTTTCCAACCAAAAAAAAAAACTCCTTATTTAAACGAAATACTCCGTTTTGGCGCCAACCATGATTCATTCTCCACAACAACATTGAGAAGCTGGTGCCTGAAAACAGAGAAAAACGGCAAAGATTAAAACCCTTAGTTTCGAACATTATCATTTATTCTTCAACAATCCTTTAATTTCTTCATCTTTCAACTTCGACCAACTCAATCACATTCTTTACATTCATGGATTCTATAGACTTACTCGCCGAAATCGCCGTAAGGTATAAATTATAATCACACCCTTCTCCCTCAAATCACTTGTTTGTTGTTTAATGGATTATTTATTGTGTTTGAAATTATTGAGTATGCTTTTTTTGTAGGAGATGATTTTGGAAGCATTGGATGCAATTGATGAGTTCATTAATCCTCATCGTTCAACTTTGAATGAAACCCAGATTTCTACCAACAATGATGTTTGTCTTAGTATTGATCAAGTTACTGCTGATCTTGATGCCCTTCAATGGCATGATTTCAACGATGACGACGACAATGACGATGACAATGAAGGTGGAAATATGGAGATAGTTGAGTACAAGAGGAAGAGGAAAGAGTTTAACCCAGTTCATTTGAAGAAGCCCAGGTCTAAGATTAAGACCCACAAGAGGAACAATATCAGTGAGATTTCTTTATTTATCTGATCTGCTTGTTTTTAATATTATGGGTTTGTTTTGAGGTTTGCCTGCTAGGTGTTTGTTAAAATGTCCGAATGAAAATCCACATGTTCGTTGTAGTATAATTGAGGGAAGCATTTTGTGCAGGAATTTCAGGGTTTTTGCTTGTCCACTACTCCATATGTTTGTAGAAATGTCCAAGTTAAAACACACATATTCTCTTGAATGATTTAAAGGAGCATGTTACACTTGATTCTATAAATTAATGACTATTTCTGCGACTCGATTCTCATATTCTCATGTTACACTTGAGGAGCATGTTACTCAAATATGTACTCTTGTGATAAGTCATAAGGAAATAAAATGTGTCTATGTAACATGTCAATAATAGTTCTTCATATAAATTGATCTGCACATTTGATTTCAGCGAGCCTAGTCTATCTAACTTTCAATTGGAATAGACTTTATATCTGTCTTCCCTTATTCTAGTAATCGGCTTCTTCAGCACCATGAGCAAGCCTCAGATCATCAGGGAATACAATGCAGATGCTTGAGTAGAATTGTGCAGTAGGTTCTAATAAGAATGTCTCCATATTCAGTGATATGACGGGTGACCCTTTATGTAGGATCAGATTCTGTCCTGTTCACATTATGTTGGTGTATGAGGCTAAAAGAAAATTTAACTTGTTGAACTCAATATTATCTCTGTTCTCAACTTTAGCTGCATAACTTTTATGTTGGGTTCCCTATGTCACGCTTTCTAGTAGGTTGGGCTACGGGGGCTCCCTAATGCAAATTTCACTTGTTTATTAATTAGCCAAAAAAAGTTGTGTGCTACTAATTTGCTTCTTGCCTTATAGAGTGTCTTCTTCCTTAGCTTCGTAACAGGAATTTTAAATTTCTACCAGGGAAAGAGCATTTTTCTTTTCCTAACTTGACTACGTATAGATCATTCATATGTGCTTCAAACTGGACAACAGGTCGCAGAGATCAAGATAGAAAAGCTTGGGGAGCTTGTTGGAGTAGTCCGAGGGTGCATAAAAGAAGTGGGGTTTGGTCTCAGGAGATCAAATTTGAAGATGGGATACATACTTGGCCTTCAAGTCTCTCCAAGACACTGGTACTTCCTTTATCCCACTCTTTGTAATTATTACTGTACTAATTGTTGTACCATCACTGTAATGCCTGTTGCACAAGAATTTAGTGTTCGTTATAGTACAAAACTACAGATGTTATGGATGAACTAGATACTCCTATTAATCCTCTTCAATAACTAATTACCACAGCTCTGTTTTAGGTATGATTCTTGAATCATCTTTTCCATAGTGATTGAATTAATTTGACTTAAAACAGATGGTATGCTTCCATAGTGATTCTATTAATTTGACACATTGCTCTTGGTCTAGAATTCTGTAGGCGTATTTACCCTTTTATCCTGTTCGTATTTGGCACTTACAGGCATATGGGAATTGGACTCAACCTGATGAATGCAATTGAAGAATGGCTCGCAAATTATGGTGCAGAGTATGTATACCTAGCTACCGAGGAGAGCAATGTTGCTTCTAGAAATCTGTTTACCCTAAAAATGCCACTAGTATTGATTTCTATGCTTATATATGTTCTTATGGAAATATAAATATAGAGAAGTTGCACGTCAGCCAAGCTGTTTCTGTTATAAAATCGGCTCAAAATGCAAAGACTTTTATCCAAATGATACTGAAATAATCTTTAGTGGTAATCCAAGCCTCGGAAGATGGGCATGTTATTTCATAATTTCAATGATGAGGGTTGGGAAGGTCTGCATATCAAGGATCACAATACAGACACTACAGAGCCGAGGTCCTGGATAATTTTCAGCATATGGAATAGCCGTGAGGTTTACAAGCTTCAAATTCAAAGGTGTAGTCATCAATTTCAGTCCTTTCTATATGCAGCCTTAAGCCATGCTCTTGAATTCTAGACAAGAGGCTAGGATTTAGTTCATATTTTAATGCCATAGGCCATGTCTCTTATTATTGGACCTTCCAGTTAGTTACACTGTCATTGCCAGAAAGTTGCTATTGAATGAATTGATCCATTACAAACTCTATCTTATTTTATTTGGTTTTTTTTTTTTTTTTGTCTGTTTGGACTGACTTAGCTTAGATTTAAATCTATACTAAAATAAAATTGCAACAAAAAATTTATTCTCATGGAATTATGGAAATGATGTATTAAGGGACCGGGCAATCACATGCTTCATACTCTGTTTTCTGTATAAATGTAAAGTAATTAGGCAAATTCATTCCATTAAATGGAAATTGGCTGGAAAATATTTGCTAGAAATTTTGTGGTCACAATATCACATCATTTAAAAAGTCACAAGTCCACAAGATATGTCAAATTACGATTTTTTTATTTTTTTGAAATGTGTGTGACATGCTGACATATAATCAACGAAAAAAATTACAAGCCATGTCCATCTTTCCATGATTTAACTAGCAAATTCAATGCTTCTTCAGATGAGCCTCCTTCACTAAATACAACCTCAGCCTTGCTTTTCAAATCCAATACACGTTCCCTTACCACATCCCCTTCTTCCGAGCTAATAATTTGCTTGACTCGCCTTTCAATTTCACTCGAACTCACAAACCTATCCTCCGTTTCATCCATTGGTAACGCAATCCCAATCTCCTCCACAATCAAAATCTTATTAAATCTTTGCTCGGCATACAAAGGCCAAGCCACCATAGGCACTCCAGCACACACTGCCTCTAAAGTCGAGTTCCATCCACAATGAGTCACAAACCCACCTACCGACCCATGTCCCAACACATCAATTTGCGGGACCCACATCTTGACCACATGACCCCTATCTTTAGTCCTTTCCAAAAACCCCTCAGGAAGGAATGAGTCCAAATCTGGCTCCACCAATGACCTTGAAAGCACCTTAGCCTTATCTTTTTTTTGGTGGCATACGAACCACCCATAAAAACCTCACCCCACTATTCTCCAACCCTAGAGCTATCTCCCTTGTTTGCTCCTTAGAAAACACACCTCCACTTCCAAAGCACAAGTACACCACGCTTCGACTTGGTTGTGAGTCCAGCCAACTTAGACACTCGTGTCGACTTTCTCCTCCTCCTTCACCGCCTCGATTTTTAGCTATCAAAGGCCCAACACAATAAACATGTGGAATTTTAGCTCCTGGAAGACAAGTCCCTTGTTTTAAACCCTTAACAGCTCTAATCTCTAACGACTCGAAAGTATTAACGATAATACCATCTGATTTAAGAAAAGTCTCACCTAACTTGACAAACTCCTTATAACTTTCCCCACGATCAAGCATGCATTCGATCATACTACTAGTAGGAAAAGAAAACAACCCAGGAATCTCAAGCGAAACACGAAGATTCCTATAAGAATCGGTATATGTTCTATCATATATAGGAAGGTTAAGGAAGAAAGCTAGAACAAAAGCACCGGAAGCAAAGAAAAAGTAAGTAGGGATATTAAGTGATTGAGAAACTTCAACCGCCGAGTAGCAGAAGAAGTCGAGGATAAAAGCGGAAATAGTTGAGGATTGAGCAATAGATTCGAGTGATTTGAGAACATTGGTGTTGTTACTTCGGAGAGTTTCGTACGTGATTTGTTCGACATCGTCGTATTTGGAAAGGTCGCCGAGAAGGAGAGGAACGGGAGGGTGGAAGACGAAGGTGATGGAAGGGAAAGAGGAGGAGATAAAGGAGACGTAAGAGGAGTACGTCGAAGATCGGCATATCGGAGAATCTGGGATGATAATGGTGATGGAAGAAATAGAAGGAGAGTGTGTTAGAAGAAGTTTACCTAGTTCAATCATTGAGATTAAGTGACCTACAAATGGTGCAGGGTATAGTACTATTGTTTCCATTTTAATTGTGATAATTGTTGTGGTACGTGTTGAATCGAAGATGATCTCTTAAGAGATGATTGTAGGTTCGTTTGTGTATACTTGCAAGACGGGGAGGGTTCTAAAGGTGAAACCTCCTCCGATGTCTAAGTTAGTACTTGAAATGGTATAGTACGATGGAGAAATATATATCGAACGAGGTAGATGAAGGAATTAATTAAACTTGGGATCGATTGGAGATGGGTGACTTTAAAAGTAGGCGAGAAGAATTGAGAAATTGAGTTTATATTAGGGGGAAGAAGCAAGGGAGGAATAACGTGTGAATAAGAATAAGCTAGTGGGGATTTTATGATATGGCTATGAAATTATGACTTATAAAGTTGTGGTTGATTATCATTTCATACGAAGTAAATTAATACCACGTTATAGAAATGATGATGATTTTTTGTACAGTAGGTGGTGCATCTTATTCAAAATGATTGTACATATGCATGGTTGACTATGTAGAGATCGAGGGACGATGCAATGAATATGAATTGAATCGTGTGAACCATGTTTATTACTAGTTATACTCTTATCTAGATGTACTGTACTAATTCCATTTATTGTCATTTACTTACACTTTAATTATCTATTCCGCCCCCACCTAGACACCTTTCATTCGTAATCTTTTTGTGCAATTAGTAATTGAACATTAAAGGTTTCTATTTAATGGATATAAACAGTTAGGGTCTGTTCACATTTACTGAACTGAGCTGTTGAACTGAACTGATTGGAGCTGAACTGAATTGAGCTAAAATGAATATTTTATGAGAGAGGAAAATTAAGAGTTGAACCGAACTTATTGGAGCTGAACTGAACTGATTAAAGCTGAACTGAACTGAAATTAAGTAAATGTGAACAGACCCTTACTCCATAGTATTTTTCATTCTGATGCATAAATGATGGTATGTATGACAAGTTTTAATAATTTAATAATCCAAAGTTAATGACTGAGATAAATTTAATCGTAGGATTAAAGGAGGGGCCAAGGGGGTGAGGATTGAACCCTATCACTTAAGGGTTGATTTTCATTGACTAGGTTATTTAGCAAAGATAAAAAGTATGTATTTGAGGAAATATTAATTTATTACTTACTCCTTTCTAAAAAAATATATATAAAAAAAAAATCGTAATAAAAATTCCTCAAAAATCGTGGATAATAGTCTTCAATTATGGGATTTTTATACCTTTTTTCGCCCAGAAATAAAATTTTTTGAGAAGTTTGTCATGGTTCCTAATACCCTCCGGGAATCTAATTAGGTGGGTGGAACTATCCAATTTGCTTTTAAACGGTCAATTTATCTGTTAACAACTTACCGATTTAGTGAACTCAAGCCTACCACGGATATTTATGACAGCATATAATAGTCATATATGGTTCCAAACGACATTATTTGATCCTGAGATGTATCCCCTAGCGCCTCAAGACTTTTCGCCGCCGAGCCCGTAACCTCCGAAATTCCTCAAAAATCGTGGATAATAACCTTCAATTTTGGAATTTTTTGACATTTTTTCGCCCGGAAATAAAAATTGTCGAGAAGTTTGCCATGGTCCCTAATACCCTCTGGGTGTCCAATAAAATGGGTGGAACCATCCAATTTGCTTTAAAATGGTCAATTTACCCGTTAACAACTTGCACCGATTTCGTACACTCAAGCCTACCACGGACATTTATAACAGTGTATAAAGGTCATATATGGTTCCAAACGGCATTATATGATCCTGAGATGTATCCCCAAGGTCCCCAAGATTTTTCGCCACCAGGCCCCGTAACCTTCGAAATTCCTCAAAAAGCATGGGTAATAGCCTTTAATTAATTTTGGAATTTTAGACCTTTTTTCTCCCGGAATTAAAATTTGCCGAGAAGTTTATCATGGTCTCTAATACCCTCTGGGAGTACAATTAAGTGGGTGGAACTATCCAATTTGCTTTTAAACGGTCAATTTATTCGTTAACAACTTGCATCGATTTAGTGAACTCAAGCTTTCCACGAATATTTATGACATCATATAATGGTCATATATGGTTCCAAACGACATTATTTGATCCTAAGATGCATCCCCTAGGGCCTCAAGATTTTTCGCCGCCGAAACCCATAACCTTCGAAATTCCTCAAAAATCGTGGCCTTCAATTATGGACTTTTTTTGACCTTTTTACGCCTGGAAATAAAAATTGCCGAGAAGTTTTTCATGGTCCCTAATACCCATTGGGTGTCCAATTAGGTGGGTGGAACCATCCAATTTGCTTTAAAACGGTCAATATTCCCGTTAACAACTTGCACTGATTTCGTAAACTCAAGCCTACCACGGACATTTTTGACAGCATATATTGGTCATATATGGTTCCAAACGGCATTATATGATCTTGAGATGTAACCCCAAGGTCCTCAAGATTTTTCGCCACCAGGCCCTGTAACCTCCGAAATTTCTAAAAAAACGTGGATAATAGCTTTCAATTCAATTTTAGAATTTTTAGACCTTTTTTGTCACGAAAATAAAAATGGCCGAGAATTTTACCATGGTATCTAATACCCTTCGGGAGTACAATTAGGTGGGTGGAACCATTCAATTTTTCTTAAAACCGTCAATTTACCCGTTCATAACTTGCACCGATTTCGTGAACTTAAGCCTACCACAGACATTTATGACAACATATAATGGTCATATATGGTTCCAAACGGTATTATATGATCTTGAGATGTATCCATTAGGGCCTCAAGACTTTTCGCCACCGGGCTCCATAACCTCCAAAATTTCTCAAAAAGCGTAGATAATAGCCTTCAATTTTGGAATTTTTTGACCTTTTTTCGCTCGGAAATAAAAATTGCCGAGATGTTTACCATGGTCCCTAATACCCTCCAGGAGTCCAAGTAGGTGGGTGGTTCCATCCAATTTACTTTAAAACGGTTAATTTACCCATTAACAACTTGCACCGATTACGTGAAATCAAGCCTATCACGGACATTTATGACAGCATATAATGGTGATATATGGTTCCAAACAGAATTATATGATCATGAGATGTATCCCCTAGGGCCTCAAGACTTTTCGTCACCGGGCCTCGTAACCTCCGAAATTCCTCAAAAAGCGTGTATATAACCTTCAATATTGGAATTTTTTGACCTATTTTCGCATGAAAATAAAAATTGCCGAGATGTTTACCATGGTCCCTAATACCCTCCAGGAGTCCAATTAGGTGGGTAGAACCATCTAATGTGCACTAAAACGGTCAATTTACCCGTATATAACTTGCACCCATTTCATGAACTCGATCAAGCCTACCACGGACCTTTATGACAGCATATAATGGTCATATATGGTTCAAAATGGCATTATATGATCATGAGATGTATCCCCTAGGGCCTCAAGACTTTTCGCCACCGGGCCCGTAACCTCCGAAATTCCTCAAAAAGCGTGTATATAACCTTCTATTTTGGAATTTTTAGACCTTTTTTCGCCCGGAAATAAAAATTGCCGAGAAGTTTACCATGGGCTCTAATACCCTTTGGGAGTACAATTAGGTGGATAGAACCATCCAATTTGCCTTAAAACGGTCAATTTACCCGTTCACAACTTGCACCGATTTGTGAACTCAAACCTACCACGGACATTTATGATAGCATATAATAATCATATATGGTTCCAAATGGCATTATATGATCGTGAGATGTATCCCCTAGGGCCTCAAGACTTTTCGCCACCGGGCTCCATAACCTCCAAAATTTCTCAAAAAGCATGGATAATAACCTTCAATTTTGGATTGACCTTTTTTCGCCCGGAAATAAAAAATTGCCGAGATGTTTACCATGGTCCCTAATACGGAGTACCCTCCAGGAGTCCAAGTAGGTGGGTGGTTCCATCCAATTTTCTTTAAAACGGTCAATTTACCCATTAACAACTTGCACCGATTACGTGAACTCAAGTCCACCACGGACATTTATGACAGCATATAATGGTGATATATTGTTCCAAACGGCATTATATGATCCTGGGATATAACCCCTACGGTCTCAAGACTTTTCGCCACCGGATCCCGTAACTTCCGTAATTCCTCAAAAAGCGTGGATAATAGCCTTCAATTTTGGAATTTTTGACCTTTTTTCGCTCGGAAATAAAAATTTTCGAGATGTTTACCATGGTCCATAATACCCTCCAGGAGTCCAAGTAGGTGGGTGGAACCATCTAATTTGCTTTAAAATAGTCAATTTACTCGTTAACATTTTGTACTGATTTCGTGAACTCAAGCCTACAACGGACATTTATGACAACATATAATGGTCATATACGGTTACAAACGGTATTATATGATCCTGAGATATATTTCCTAGGGGCTCAAGACATTGCCACCGGGTCTCGTAACCTCTGAAATTCCTTAAAAAGCGTGGATAATAGCCTACAATTATGGAATTTTTTTACCTTTTTTAGCTTGGAAAAAAAAAATCAAGATGTTTACCATGGTCCCTGATACCCTCCAGGAGTCAAATTATGTTGGTGGTACCATCCAATTTGCCTTGAAACGGTCAATTTACCCATTCACAACTTGCACCGATTTCGTGAACTCAATCTTACCACGAACATTTATGACAATATATAATGGTCATATATGATTCCAAACAGCATTATATGATCTTGAGATGTATCCCCTAGGGCCTCAAGACTTTTCGCCACCGGGCTCCATAACCTCCGAAATTCTTCAAAAAGCATGGAAAAGCATTCAAGTTTTTTTTATTTTTATTTTGTTTTGAAAGCCTTTGATTGACAAGGTGGTTGCTAGAGCTAAAGTTTTGACTGCTAAAACTTTTGCTTACTCAGGTAGGCTGCAATTGGTCAAAGTTATTCGTTTGAGTTTACGGTTTTATTTGTGCCAGATTTTCATAATGCGTAAGAAAGTAATTAAGGAGATTCAGAGGATCTGTAGATTGTTTTTATGGACTGGCAATACTGTTTCTTATAAAAAAGCTCATGTCTCTTGGAACACTTTCTGTCTTTTTAGAGTTGCTGGGGTTTGGAACATTAAGGATATGGTTTCGTGGAACAAAGCTGCTATCTGCAAGCTTCTTTGGGCCATTTCTTGTAAGAAAGATAAGCTTTGGGTGAAATGGATTGATGCTTATTATATTAAGAACAGGGATGTTTCTAGTGTTAGTTGTCCTGCTAATAGCACCTGGGTTCTCAGGAAAATCTTCGACTGTTCTCAAACCATTATCTCTGCAGGTGGTTGAGACAGATTTGTTAAGAAGGGGTCCTTTTTTATTCATTTTTTTTTTTTTTAATTCAACTTATGTATGTTTACTTTGTTACTTCGTATTAAGCAATAGGTTTTCGATAAATCCTGAATTCTTGTCGTGCGACGAGGGAAAGAACTTTGGATGACTTGATCAAATACCTTACTTTCGCTTTTGGAACTCACAATTTTTATAGCTTTAATTATTATGGTACGTACTTAGCAACTTTTCCTTGCAACTCACGGCTACCTTAATTGGACCATATATACACAAATTAAAATTAAACATCTGGATTATTGTTATATGAAACCCAACTTAGTTCATTTAACAAACTCTTAGATTTTTACAAAGGTGCAATCATCGTTCCAAACTAAGGTATGTTGAACCCTTCCATATAGACTAATATGTACTTTATGAGCAATTAAGGTAGATTTTTATTATTTTTTTAAAATGAATGAACCACAAGCTAAGGGAGATATGAATTGCTTGTGGGGTAATGGATTTGATCGAACTTTAATTTTAACATATCACACATATGCAGTGATGAGAATCGATCCCAAGATCTCTTGTAATCGGGAGGGGAGCTCTAACCACTTGAGCTATCCCTCACTCTCGTAACAAGAGTTTTTTTTAAGTATGAACATTTTGTTGTAACAATTATTCTACTTGTCTAGGTAAATTTAATTTAATCCCCCATGACAAAGGAAGCTACTCATCAAGAAGAAGAAAATGCGACAACGGTAATGCTAAAAGTGGGTCCATTTCCAAGTCCAAATAGTCGATTTTATCCAAGAAGCAGTGATGATGGCAAGATTATAGTAGCTGATTGGGATGAAAAGGGAAGAACGAAAATTGCTCAAATGTTCATATCATATGACAATAATTATATCAAATCCCTTTCATTCCAATACATTGAAGATGGCCAATTGATTCTTTCTCCTATATTCGGCTCCCAATATCTCGATGGTCACACCTTTGATACGGTCTCTCTTTTCTCATTCTTACTTAGTATATATATTGCACGTTCAATTAATTCTGCATATGAGTAGTCTCACATTAAATAAATAGAGAAACAATGAGAAGTTTGATTTGATCCAATTAATTATATTGATCTCATTAGCTTATATATTGTGTTGATCGAGACACATCAAACAAGATCCTAAGCTAGCTAGGGAGTATCTGTTAGTTACTAAGTGTCTAATTGTTGTGAATAATAATGACGTACAGGTGGCGTTGATGGAAGGCGGAGAAAGTGAGTACATCACAAGAGTGAGTGGGTATCATGGTTATAGAGACCAGAGAGGGCGTGGATTGATGTCATTGACAATCGAAACCAATAAAGCTACCTATGGCCCGTATGGAAGTGGATCTGTACACGTCGATAAATTCAGCTTTAGCTTGGGACAGGGTGATCAATTTGGTGGATTTCATGGCAGCTCTTCTTCTGACATTATTACATCCATTGGAGTTTATTTGAAGCCTATCCAAAATACTGTTATCCTTACCTTTGTTAAAAGACCTGATCATCTTCCTATTGAAAGTAGTGACTAATTATATACACATATGATGTATAAAGAGTGTGTAGAAGCACGCAAGGAAGCTATCAACAATAATGAAATTAAATTTGTACTCTTTGATTAAGATTCTCTCGTAGATTAATTATAATTGCATTTGGAATATTACCTAAACATGCAAATATTTCAAAAACAATAAACCTTCATTTTCAATACTAAGGCCATGTTCACTCACTATTAAAAAAAAAACCCTTAAACTTGGAGTACTATGAATTCAACCTAAACTACGGAATTAAAACATCCAGGCTGATACTTGGGGATTTGGGATTCAAAGAATCTATATACTGTAATTATTGGAGGGTTAAGTTCCCATAATATTGTTGGAGTTGGAAAAAATTCAATGTGATTAGCCTCTCCGTTTGCCAATACTATTCCGTTGACGTTTTGTTTGATTAGGGTTCCTAAAGTACGTATCATTGAAAAAACAGGGTGAAGGGCACGATTTCAGAATTTTTGTCTTTGATCCTTATGCTTGACTACAATTGGTGAGGGAAGGGAAAAACAAATACTTGTAATGCAGTTTTCTTAGCACAAATCAATTGCCTCAATAAAATGGAATTTTGTTATAACGCGACTATGTTCTCCAGTAACAAGAATAGATTTTTCTGTTTCATTACAATGTATACACAGCTCATGAAATGAATTTTTCTTTTCATACTATACAGAACAAGATTATGGACTTCAAATTTTTCCAAGGCAACAACTATTTGTATCTTTGCCTTGGTCTGAATGCAGTTCTTTGTTCCTTACTTTTTGCTATGGACAACAATGATGTTTCCATTTGGTCATCGAGTTTGTTTGGGTCAAGGGAAAATTTTTCTTTGATGAATGAATCCAAGTCAAAACCACTCTTATACCTAGCATCTTTTACCTCTGATGAGGGCGATGATCCTTCATCAGTGTCCTTGACTTCTGATGAATCTGGGGTCTTTCCAAATGGATCCTGCTCTAAATTCAAGAGTCTCTTTATGCTATCGAGTGCTGGATCAATGATGTCTAGAAACCCGTTCACCCAGGAGGCATCATCTACTACTTCTGTGCGCTGTCAAAGATAGGTATTATTGAAATCAGAAACCATGTACAACAGGACCTGAGCATAAACTATGCCTCAAGTTTCTAAAACAGTAGTATCTCCAGGTTTTATAAGTTGGATTGTTTTCATTTGAAAAAAAAAAACAAAAAAAAAAACTAATGTACGAAGGACTATTAGCATCATGTATATGAGCATCAAACCTTAAGCCAGACTACCAGTTACTAACCTGCTGGAAGTAGAGGTTACGGATTTCCTCAGCACGCACAGAGTTTCCTTGATCCTCCTCCAAAGAAGCCCAAGTCATCCATGTCACATAGCTTTGTGAATTTATGTTAAGAGACGATCTGAATAATCTCCTAGCTGCAGACAGGTTTCCAACTTTTTGCTCCAGAACACCCCACGCCTGAAACATATATACACCAGTTCTATTTGAAGTGCAAAAAATAGATGCAATGTAATTTTATCAGCCATTATTACAAGTTATACAGAAAGCATGGTTTTTGAAGTAGCATATCAGATTTGATTGTTACCTGAAGGCAACGAGCAGCACTTTCTGTCGTTGAGTTGATAGATAGAGCTTTCTGGTACAGCTCTCTTGCAGTGGATATATTACCTTCCTTCCATTCCATCCAACCCCAGGCCTGAATAGCAACATACATAATTAGTCACTTTGTAGGCAAACTACAAGTAATAACAAAAAAACATGAAAAAGGTTGGTGAGGCTCCTCTTACAATCCATACGGGTTGGTGCCTAGGATCCAACTCGGATGCCCTCTTGAACAAAATCCTGGAAGCATTTGCAGTGGAGTGCCTGTACTCCAGCAAAGCAAGAGACTGAAGAAGTACTGGATCCCTCGGGTTTACAAGATGACCTATTTTTAGAATTTTTCTTGCTTTGTCAATGTTTCCAAGATTAGCCTCAAATAGCCCCCATACATGCCAGGCAAACCTGTTTTTTGGGCTAGCCTGAACAGCTTTCTGTAAACGGAAATTGGGGTTGGAATTTCATGGATTAATCCATAAATTTTGTATAATTTCATCATGATTCATAGTATTCCATATTGTTATGATCAGTTACCTCAAACAAATAACATGCAGCTTGATTGTTTTCCTGCTGCATCTCTAACTGTGCCCAGGCCTGATTTTGGAAAGACAAGAGTTGCATAGGAAGTTTCAGCATAATAACCTCTATGAACAGAGTTAAACATTATTAATATTCATTGCTTTAATGCAGAAATTGACACAAGTTGAATGACAGGTTAATAAGCAAAAATCAAAAGAACAAGGAAAAAAGAAACACTTACAAGCCAACTAGCACAACTTTTGGGATTACACCTTGTTGCTTGTCTAAACAAGTAGCTGGCCTGCTCATAGCGATTAGCCTTAGCTTCAAGCAACGCGAGAGTCTGGTATACATACTCATTTCCACCACAGTATTTAATACCTTTGCCAAGAAGATTCCTAGCCTTCTTAATATTACCTTGTTTTAGCTCCAAAACTGCCCACCCATGCCACGCTGCAATGTGCTTCTTATCAGCAACTGTAGCCGCATCAAATAGTTCTCTCGCTTTCCTTGTATTTCCCAAGTCACTTTCTAGCACAGCCCAACACTGCAATATATTGAAAGGAAAATTTTGGATAGATTCGTAGCAATTCATCATTGAATGAAGCTGCTAGTATTCGGAATAGTAGATCATCAGAACAAACCTGCCAGATATAAGGGTTTTCACCCTGAGTAGCCTGAGAGCCTTTTTCATAAACAGCCCTTGCTTCAGTTATTCTTGATTGCTTCCTCAGTACCTTCCCCAATGCCACATATGGCCTCCCGTCTTCAGGCCAATAGTATATACACTTCAAACATAACCATATCAAATCATTACTAATATAAGTCTAACAACAATCCTAACATATGAGCCATTACAGACTGTTGTATAGATTGTATTCCTTAAATGTTCTGAATTACTTGGTTTTGCAAAAGAACTAATTTACTTCCTTTGGAAAGTTCTTTAATATTGAAAATGTCAATGCCTTGTTATTAATCAAGGAACAATTTGTTCTTTAACATTAGAAGGGCAATGGTCTAAAACTTGTTCAACACCAAAAGGCAACATTTCTATAGAATTATGAAAGAACTCTACTCGTCTAAACGAAGTTAGGCACTCCAGAAACAATTACCTCAAGTTGTGGTAACTAGAGCCTATTTCCGATGTGTCTACTTAACAACTTTATGTTTCCCACTTTACAATCCAATAAACTCCGATAGTTTGGATATGTCAACCAAACGACCACTAATGGATACAAATGTCAAAACATTTCTCAATAAGAGTATGTTTTATTTAACCAATACACTAACTTTTCCCATTTAATATTAAACCATCTAAAATTCTAATGCTCATTGGTTCATTAATGAAAATATCATTTCATCAACCAACAATTTCGCAAATAAAAATAGATAAAGAAACAAAAAATAATACTTGTATAATACAGAATAGATAATAAAAAAAATACCTGTTGTAGTATATTTTCAGCATCATCAAACTGAAAATTCCTAGTTAAAATCTTAGCTTTATACAAAGCCAAATCCAAATTAATCTTCAATGGCTTCTCAATAACTTCACCATTTTCATCCCCTTCTTCACCTCTACCCGGTTCAAATATCGGCAATTTCTTCGCAAACTTCTCCAAACTCCGATCCAACGCCGACTTCTCTTCTTCCTCCTCCTCATCCTCATCATCACTGCTACTTCCACCACCTTCGACTTCATTTTCTCTCTCCTCATCTCCGCCGTCCGATTGAATCATCGGACGGCGAACAAGGAGTTGCTCCAAATTCTCTCTCCTCGATGAAACCTCATCGAGTTTGGGTTCCTGTAAAACAGGGGAGACCTCATTGTTGGAATAAGATGAAGAAGAGGAGGTGTAGGAAGGTACAGTGAGGTTCGAAGGAGGAGATTGTAGGGATTTGATTGGAAATAATCTAGCTTTGGAGGACTGCTTTGAAGAATTCAAGAAAATTGTGGTTGAAGTTGAGGTTGAAGATGATGATGAAGAAGAGAAGAGTTGCATTTTCTCTCTCCTCTGTTTTTTTTTTTTTTTTTTTTTTTTTTGGAGAGGAAATTATTTTTAACGGATTGAAACTGTATGTGGTGTGAGTGTGTTCGTAGAAGTTACTTTAGGCGGGAGCTTCTTACGTGGCTTTTCATACACCTCAACTATCCTTACTTACGGAGTATAATTTTTCGAATGTTGAGGTGATGGAATAATGGTATCGCTCTATACATAATATTCTTCTACGGAGTAATACGACTACATAAGTTTAAACTATTGGAATTATCTCCACTCTCAAATAGTATATTCGGAATTTTACTAGTAATGTGACATTTAAATCGAGATCAAAGTAAAAATTGAATATGGAATAGTGAAAAAAAAAAAAGTGGGAATGTAGGATGGAGTGGTATAATCTTCTTCTAATGAGAGGGGAAAATAAAATGGTGAGCCTGACAAAAGGGAGTAAACAGTGTTTAGATTTTTTCGGCTACGTGGCAGTCGCTTGTTGGTTAGATATCAACGTTTAATCTTCTTGCCCATTGCTCACTTGATCTTCAGACTCCCCACCATAAGAGCCAGCCAAATGTGGCAGTATTTTTAATTTTTTTGTTCTTTTCAGACAGTGGTTACAAACAAACGCCAGTTTATGGACCGGGCTGTGCAGGTTTACATTTTGTGCTATGTTAGCGTGTCACGTACTTAAGTGGGCTACATGGAACGAGCAAAAAATAAGTCGCGTGCCAAACTCGTCCAATATACTACGGAGTACATGGCAACATGTAGTTTTCGGGTTGTACAGTGCTAGCAGGCCTTCTAAATAATGTTTACATTTTTAGTAAGTTGGTCAAATATAAATAAGCCAATACGCAAATGAACCCACCATACTCATGTCGAGCTCATGCCAAAATTCAAAAATAATGTTCATATATAGGACATGGCCATCAATCTAAAGTCAAGTCGTATCAAGCTTGTGATAGCTCTTGCCCGATTAGGTCATTTTTGTGTCAGCTTGGCCCATACCCAGCTCTATTTGTAACTTTGTTCGTTCCGAAGGATGAAGTATTAGACACCTCGCATTCATTTACTCTGTAAGAACAACACTAATAATAATACTACCTCCGTTTCTTATTATGTGTAACAAAGAGATATTATTTGTGAGACATAAAATATTTCTTTGTTGCACAAAATAAAAAACGGAGGTAGTAATAAAAATTGTGAACCTAACTTTAGGTGTGCCCGTAAAGCAAAAACTATGAAGTGGTAGGGTACTTGGGGCCATGGGCAAAACAAAAAGAATTTGAATTAATCTCAATTTCAGACATTAAGAACTTTCATCCTTAACTTGGGTGTTCGACATAAAAGTGGATTGATTTAATTTCAACCTAAAAAAATTAGAAAAAATTTGGACAAAAAAGTAGAAATGAAACACAGCTACCCATCTTCTTGGACACCCTTGAGAATTGACCGCTTTGAGCAAGTGATCAAAGAGAGATCAAGAAAGAACTAACATCCGTAATTTTGCACCAAAACCAGAAGGTAAACTGCGAAAACTGATATCTAGATTTTAGCAACTTCTCATCAATTGTACCATACGGAGTATATTGTAATGCAGACTGCAGCTACTTAGTATTGTAAAGCAACAAACCGAACATACAAATTTACAACTAATAGTTAAAATTCTGTAATATCACATAATGCAAGATACCACAATTTACCCCATGAAGGTAACGGGAATTCCTTTCGATTTTATCCAAGTTCCCTGCTTCTTTTCAATCGTTTGGTGAAAAAGCGGAATGTCCATTAGCACAGCACTAGTCAGCTCCTTTGCCAGCTGAGGAAGCTGTATCACCTGAAAGATGGGAGGATTTGATTTAACATGGGTGAAGAATGAAGACAAACCATTTATAACTTAGGAATTGCACTTTTGAGTGCTTATTACCATGTCTTGTAAACTACCAAGCTTCGATACTGATTCCTTCATACAAATTGCTTAAGAAATTCGGTAGCCACAAGCCTCCCCCGAGTGTTTACTGACAATTTCAACTCATTGATCTCTTTATCAATGTCCTGCAATTTTTATTTAACAACAAATTTTAGTAAGCAATCAAGTAACTTCTCTACTTTGTGAATATTTTGGTAACAAATCACGATGTCACTTGTCAGATTCCGAAGCTAACCACACTTCAATACTGAAAGAACTAAGCTCATTACATGAGCATAATTCCAAAAGAAGTTTAATACACAGCCTATGAGATGTCTATCTCTGCCCCTGACAGGATTGGGGAATGATGGGGCCTCACAAAAAAAACTGATTACTGATTATTGAGGAATTATCAAACCTCAGACCACGGTCAAGCTTTAAAATTTAACGAGTTGCTCAACTTTAATTTAGATATACAGGGCTTGGCAATTAATCCAACAGAAGAAGCAAGTTGGGATAGCGCAATGAGGTAAGGATACTAAGATCAATAACTCAATAACCTGAAATGAATATAGACATATCTTTTCTACACTCTAAATATTGGCCTCTTGCAACGGTGATAGTCCAACACCGGCATCACATAAAGATCTTGTTTGACCAAGAAAGGTTAGCTAAAGGCCTAAACCTGTTTGCAAGTCTGGATAGCTGATTGTGATTTGATTTGCTATCAAGATGCGAGGCAAAGTTGTCAGCCTTGCAGCAGTTTGAAAGTGTAAAATGGTATACAAAGGCATAATTTTTTTTATTTTTTTCTTTTCAACAAATGTGGCATGACACATAATTTTAGTAAAGAGTTGAAAGTATATGTCTTTTAAGTTGTTGAAGTACATTTGACAAGAATGTAATTTATTCTAAGGAAGCCAATTGTTAATCTATAGAAAGATTGCTGAATACAGGGTTTTAACAACATGAAATTGGTTAGGAGAGATATTTAAACTAATACACTACACAAAAAAATCATATAGCCATAATATCAAATGGGAATTGACGGAAAAAGTCTTACCTCCATAAACTGCACAATAAAATCTATAAGTCTCTGTTTTTGCATCTCCTCACAATGGAAATTGGTGATGAGAAAGCTAATGTCATATCCCTGCAAAAGTGAATAAAGTGGTCGTACAATGTTATTATTTAGTCTGTCGGAAAATGAAACATCATTCAAAGTTCAAATCAGCATACACATGAATCAGCAAGTGACTGCCAGATCGTTTTGTTTACTCATGACTAACAGAAGTTGAACATTAATATGATACCTGTACAGGTTTTCTCCTCAGAACCTGAAAAGCTTCAGCCCTCATCGACAAAAATCTAAGGAACTTTTTGGCAAGTATATTCTCAAGTTCATCAGCCTGTTTTACCTGTAAACGTAAAAAATAATATGGCACAGAATGAACTTACTTATGAGACCAACCTTAAGTTATCTAAATAATCCATAAAACTGAGAAAACATAGCTACCTTAAGGCTGATTCTAAGGGAATTTATTGATGTTTCTATCAAACACTTTTCAGCCTCATTTCTACAAATCATTACCTGCAATAACATCCACAAAGACATTATTATATAAAGAATGAGTGGAAAGACTGACACAAAACATACAAACTAACAACTTCCATACATATAAGCTAAGATATCCGTTGCATGCACCATGAATGCTAAGCAACAAAACAACTATAACTAATATGACCCGAAATAGGATACATAACTAGCAGTTTTTGTCAATGGTTCTCTTGAATATTTTTTTTCCCCCCTACTAGAACAGTCCTTCAGCAGCTAGACTTCTCAAGTTCTCGGGCTGTTAGTACTCATGCTCATCACATTGCAGGATGAAAGACGATAAAGATTTTAACACCATCTAGATAAATGAAAATGATATGCCACATTTGACAAGAGAGTTTCACATTGCCATCCTCATAAAACTGCTAGCTCCCCAGTCTTTTAGTTTGAAGATCTGAAGAAATATTCCAGAGCTTCCCTAAAATTTTCCTAAGCATGGGTTCCAGATTTCAACTCTAAGAAGCCTCAAATCTCCAACAGACAATAAAGAATTACACTCCAATGTCCAATGTAATTAGGAAGAGTCATCAAAATGGCATCCAGAAAAATCCATTCGAATTAGCAGCCAAATGAGATCACAACCATTGGCAACCAAAGTAGCTAATTTGATAAAGAAGTCAGAAGGCCTTGACAGAAAAGCTGAAACAACAGCAAAATGCTTACAGTCCAAATAGATGCAACTATATACATGCACTGAAACAATCATGTAGATGTGTTTATGGGATACAGTGAAAACCTTATTCGAAGGCACATTTAAGAAAGCAAATCATAAGGATAGGACTTAAAAGGCAGATTTATATTGTAGCTCAGGATATTACTCAAGAAACTGCAGTCTTACTGAATATAGGAGATCTTCTTACAGGATTTAGTAGAAGCTCAGGGCTCGTCCTGAAAAGAAAAATTAGAAATATAAGAACCAAAGTGCAGCTTTCTAAGTAAATGAAGTAATGGGCCATTATCTGAAACGGATAGGCCAAATTTCATGAAGATTGTAGAAGTAAAATTTTCCAAGGACATGAACACGAGAATAGAATAATTTTCAGACATCGCATATGATCATATTAGCTCGAAAAGATCTAGTAAAAAACCATAGAAAAACCCCAAAATCTAACAACAGAAGAAAAGATACCATGTCAGAGTCACTTACTTCATTTCAACTTCTGGTTTATTATGTCTTTCTACTTCTTGACATGGAAAATTCTGCAACAAACACACCACAACACAGTGAATCCTCCAAAAAAAGCAAAAAAATATTTCAGCAACATTAATAGAGAACATCAAAGAACCAATGCAGAAAATCAGAAATACCTGTAGACACATAGCAGCCTCCAAAGTGTTCCTTATGCAAGTCAGATACAACCGCATTGTGTTCGCCTGCACATTCAACAAGACTAATTAACAACACCATCGCAGCGCCAGACTGCCAGCTACAACTTAACCAACAAACACAACCCCTAAACATCAAGTTCACTTAACCAACAAACACAACCCCTAAACATCAAGTTCATATAGACCAATATATATATTTCATCATATACAAGGCATCTCAAAATCCTCAAATTTCATCAATCCCACACTCCTATTGCATCCGGCATTCGAAAATTCGAATAATGCAACCATCATTGAAAATAAGGATAAAACTTGTGACAGCAACTCTCCAAATAAACCCAAAAAAAATAAATTGGTAAAAGCAGCATAAGCATAACCCTACAATTCTTTCAACACAATCACATAACAAATTCAATAAAAAAAAAAAAACAGATCTAGACTTGCTTACTTTTTCTGCAGTAGAAGACATCCTTGAAATTTTTCACACAAAAGAAACCAAATTTTTATTGAGAACAATAAATTTTCATAAAACAAAGACTTGGGTAGTTGAGCTAAGATCCAAGACATGTTCTTCTAGCATGACTTCCAATTTCTATTTAAAAATTAATTGTCAATTATATAGACGTCATCAATCCAGCACCACAATATATTATAATAAGAAATTAAACAATCACATTTGAAACTTAATCTAAAGATAATGACGTTCAACAGAAATAAGAAATAAAATACATATAATTAACTATATTAATTACAATTGGTGTAAACTAACAATGAGAGAGATTACATATAAATAATAGATTACATCAAATTCCTTAATTACGCGAGATAATACTAACAAGAAATGATGAACCCGGATCAAAAGATCAAATTTTTAATCTGATTTGGTAGATTAGAGAAGACATACCATAGAAAATTGGGATTTTGATTTTGCAAAATTCTTCTCAGAAAAGCAAAATTATTGGATCAGCCAATTGAATTGGAAAGTGGGCAGTGAAATAGTGAAGGATTAAGAAGAAAGTTAAAAACTTTTAAAATAAATAAATAAATAATTAAAAAAAAAAGGTGAAATATAAAAAATCCGACCTGCCGGAATCGAACCAGCGACCTAAAGATGCCTGAAGGCTAATAACCCACTACAGTCTTCCGCTCTGCCAACTGAGCTAAGGTCGGTTTGTTGATTTTTTATCCCTAACAAAAGCATTTATATGTAACTAGATATGTCAAACAAATACAATGGGTAATAAAAAAAGAGTAGTCTTTAAACTATGAAATTGATAATATGTTATTGGTTGGTTAATCCTTAGGTGTAGGAGTTTTTTTAAAAAAAAAAATTATTATTCATTTTTAGGTTTGGTTTTAAATGGGCAAAAGAATAGAGATTATAAATAGATATGTTGTGTTATGTCATATCGTGTTCTGTCGTGCCGTGTCATGTCAAATTTGTGTTTGTACTAATGTGACTAGATTCATTAATTGTGTTTGAACATTCGACTACTTAGATAAAATTAAACAAATGTGTGTGTTGAGCAGACATGATTAAAGTAAAATGTGAAGAAAATTATAAGAGTGATTAATTCCTTATACCCAATTGCAACATCGTTTTATAAATTCATGTGTGACAAACCCTAACTTCCTACTCAAAGTATAGTTGCAGAATGTTAATCTCATATCTTATTTTAGGCGTTCCAAAATGGTGTATATCGTGTCAATTTTGAGTTGAAATCACAGTAATATCTCGACACATCTACTAAACCATAGGGTTATATTGATCTATTTGAATTAAGGGACAATTGTTTGACACTAATCTTTTTTATTGTATCATATTGTCATGTTGGGTCAACTTTGTTGGGTCAACTGAAAGAGATTTACAAATATAATAACAACTTCTTACCATCATAAGCAAAAGCTTGCCTTGTTTTCTTGGCAGTAAAAGGTGTTTAAAGAAGCACGATCTAGATCCAAAAATCGTGGTAACACTTGTTCAGTGCTATTTAGCATTTTGCTCAACTATAACTTGGTTACTCCAAATCCATATTCAAAGATCTACTGTAAATAATTTCACTTTAGTAGATTTCAAGTGAGGAGAGCAAAGTCGAAGTGCCATAACTTGTTCAATTGCCTCAATTCTGAAAAGCCAGTGATTGGTGTTGCAATTGAGTGATTTGTAACACCAACACAGCACACACAGGCTATGAGACAGATTAGTGAATCACCTAAATATATGATGACAATGCAAAGCAGGGACAATTTATGCAGAACAAATATACGAGTATGTTTACTAATAAATTTATTGATAGCAAATGAAATTACTGTCAACTTCCACCAAAAATTTACACAAGAATAAATCAATGTGACATTGTGATATGAAACTCATCCATGTTTATTGTCTTTGCTATATAAAACTAAACCAAAGAAAACCAGTACCTCAGCTTCCACCCCATTTCCTTTTTCTTGCTGGCCGTTGTCCCTTGGATTCAGCTGTTTCAGCTAGTCTATCGCCTTCTGGCTTAGGGTCAGGATCTGTATCTGTTTTCACAGATACTGGCTCCTTAAAGCGCTCCATTCTCTTTTCCATCTTCGCCTTGGTCTCAAGTATTCGGTTCTCATCGTATACACAAGCACCATTCTGACTCACAGGTTTCTGATTACGAAATGGTTTTTCTTTCATAGGGACTTTCTGAGTTAAGTATACAGGACCAGGACCGTTCTTTACCTTGAGAAATTCAGCTTCGGGTTCTGCAGGTATTTGATCCTCTTCTAGATCAGTAGCATTTTTATGGTTCATTATAGGTAGCTTATCCCGCAGTGCTTCACTATTTAAACCTTTGTTCACCATCTTTTTGTGAGGGAAAACTTCAACTGGTTTCTGTTGCCTTTTGAACTGCTTCTGGAACCTCTTGTCAGACTGTTTACAAGCATCATCATTTGGCAGACTTCCAGCATTTGAAAATTTCCCAAGTAACTGCAGAGTGTATCATAATGAATTAATGTTACAAGATCAGGCATGTATACCCGTCATTGTTGATGGGGCGATTAACAAGTCTCATAAGGAAATGCAAGACAACCAATGCACAGCTTCAGAGGTTTCAGAGAAACAAAACATCTAGCAATATGATTAATCTTAAAGTGGATAAAAGGAAGATGCGACTATATCAAAGACTGCTCATATAAGGGATACCTATGAAGCAGAGTACAACGCACTAAATTGAAACTAAATGAAGAGCTAACACGAACTGCCTTGCCCTCTTTATCATATGACAGTTAAAGCTTAGTTTGCAAGCAATGGTACCCCGTAAAGATAAAAGATGAAAACATGAGGGCACTAGAACATATTCTTTGACAATTAAACTATATATGTGAACCTATTTCGACATGAATTTCTCCATCCCAATGTCACTTCCAATGTCAATGCTGCAGCCTGCAACCTTGTCAGTCCTAAAACTTCTCTAAAACTAAAAACACATGACTGGTGCAAACCCATTACAAATAAAAGGAAGGGCCAGAATCTTAACTCTATTTTCATCAATCCTCAACACAAGTTATGCAATTAGTATACCTGATACATATAAAAGCCTACTGTCACAAACATTCGAAACAACACCCCCTCTGCAACTGATTGATCAAGGGGAGGGGGACAGTGGTATAGAAGAGCACATTAATGCATATTCATTCCAAAAATAGATAAAAACAAACACATAAAAGGAGACAAAAAGCCAGCATTCCAAGAGAGATACAGCAACTAATAATGATAATAGCATTATCCAACAATGGACATGGGTCTTTACTGCAGCCCAATCACATCTACAAATTTTCATGAGAAGAAACCACATACCAAGATTACCAACTACTGCCTAACGCATAAAACATCAAGCATCAACACTTAAAGTTGTAAAGAAAAGTTCAAAGTTTTCCAGGTCCTTTGCAGATAGGAGCTAAACTCTTGGCATTAGAAATGCTAACATAGGAATAATGCTTGACATTATAAAAAATGAACAAGTATCCTCTTTTAACTCTTATCAAACGACTAATAGTTTGACTACCTGTCATTCCAAGAGTAATTGATACCAAAGTGTTCCAGTGAAGAGTTATCTTGATAGGTCTAATACTTCAGAATGCCTAATAATGCAATGATAGAAATGCTAGATTCAACTTGTGATCAGATACACAGGAAAGCTTGACAGACTTGTTCTACCATTGAGCTATTGAGGAACAAGAAATTCATCTTATTGTTTACTATCATGTTCTTGAATCATCACCTACGTGGTGTCAAAGCTAATGTTCCTCAAAGTCTTCGTTTATTTTTTTTTTAAACTAAAGCAGAATATGTTTCAGAACAAATCTCACAACTCTAGTTTGAGAAGTCCATCTTCAATTTCACTTTAATCCAACATAAGATTGCATGGAGCTATGAGCCCTATAACCATCATCCTCAACAAAAATCCCTGTTTAAAGATGATAGAACATGAAATGAGGAGTGGATACAACCAAGTGACGTCCAGCTTATCATAACACCGACCAATACAAAGTCTAAATAGTATATTTTTCAAGTAACAATCTAGAAATGAAAATAATGATCATTTTTTCACCAGCTTTTTTAGACTCAATTCATTGCCTAGTCCAAAGAAATTATGAGCTAGCATGCATTAGCAATTAATATTTCTAAAATCAGCATATAAAGCTGTCAAAGAAGCATGTGTGCATGCATAAACTAAAAAGATTCAATCATCAAAGATCAGCATTGTGACATGAAGAGGACATTTTCTGAAAAGTGTAGACATAGGAACTATATATCAAGAAGCAGACACAATCAAAGAAAATGAAAATAAGTACACTTAGCTAATGATCCATATCATTCACAAAATCTTATCACCAAACATTGAATCACATTACAGCTATGTGGCAGACTACATCAATCATGCCAAAAGGAATCCTGACATAAGAGTATAAGACCAACATACAAAAAAGCTAACAATTGCTAGCTCAGAAGTCAAAATTCACAAGCAATGATAATATTTAAAAGCCATTTTCTCATAAACATAGAATGGAAATCCTACAAAGTTAGAAGTGCACAGATACACTAAACTGTAAGCTACCTACTCCCTGCAATAGTAAGACAGTATAAGAAAAGTTCATTTAATTGAGCACTTCAGTACAGCAAAATTTATAAATTTAAAAGATCTAATAGTAATTCTGAAGCCACTCATACTAAAATTGTCTGAAAAAGGACAAGATAATCAAACATTTATGATCCCATAAATCTTTTAAAAAAAAAAAAAAAAACTCAGTAATAAAGTCGGTATTTTTCATAAATGGCATGGTCAGTATTTGTGTTCTTTTTTAAGACAGTGTATCCATGACCTAAGTTTTGAGCCCATACATAAGTGACACTAAACTATGTACCTATACTCTACACTTGTACCCGCGTAGAAGCCCTTGGCTCCAATTGTACACTACCCTCAAGTATAGAAATTACCTTGGCATGATGAAGCTTTCCCCTGAGAAAATTTCCAATACCTCTCCCACAACAACCACCAAAATAGATTCCACATTTCGCAATCTACTTGTAAGATAACCACTTCTTCCAAGCCACCAGAACATCATTTGATTTACAGGATTAAAATCAACTAATCCAAAAGAAAGATAAAAATAATTGCAATCAAGAAACCCTAGGCAATAAAAGTAGGAAGTCATCAACTAACTCCTCATCAAGATTTCCACCTGCTTGCAAGATAATATTCCTTCATTCAAGTTCACGTCTGTAAGAAACCTTGCAGCTTTCAAGCAAAGAGCAAGCTTTTTCTGGGGACTGCATGCTAAATTTTTACTACAGTAAATGTTGCATATTAACTAAGAAATTAAGGGATGACAACACAAAATAGGTTGAGTCTACATGTACAGATCGAACAGGCAAATACAGAGACATGTATCCAATTAGCACAATGATAAGTAGATATTACTCACATCATAAAAAGCAACACTAAGATTCACAATGATGAATATTTGAGCAATGCTAAAAGCTTGCGATTACATGAGTAATCAATTGCATTAATAACCATGAATATAACGTAGAAAAAAAAAAGGTTCAGAGGGAGAAATATCTGCATAACAAAATTAGCTTAAGAATGCATGCATAATACATCAAACATCCATGGACACGTTCTGGTGCAGAGAAAGAGATGTGCGCAATACATAAATGTAGCATCCCAATCAAAGCATAAGTGAAGATCCTAAGGAGAACTAATAGCTCTTTAGGTGGGTGCACATGGTTAGATGAAACAGAGATGATTGACAGAGATGGTAATTGGTGCATATCACTCAAGCATGAGAAACATAATTTAAAGACAAAGTTGTCAGAAACTAGTCAAGAAGTGATCCTGAATAACCAGTTACATGGACATTGAGTACATGAAAGTTCACAGTACTATAGCAATCACATTCACACCTAAAAGAAAACAAGTAAACAACAAAGATTGTGAGAGCTGCTTATAGCAGATGCAAATAGTTCCCCACAGTTATAAGCGCTGATTTGCACAACAGCAATCGCACTTAGATGCATGCCTTCGAGGATCCAAATAAAATTACACAGGAAAATTGAAGTATATTCAATACAAGAAACAAAATAAAGAGCATAGTCAATCCAAGTGAAAAACATACACCTTATATCTGTAAGCACTCAATTATAAGCAATTTTTTAAAGTAAAGAGCCTTGCTACAGAGTTTTGTACAAAATTTACAGTAATTTTCATCACTGAAAAAAAGGTATCTAAAGTTTCTTTCCACTTTTACAATTAAGGAAATAAATTCAAAAATAAAAATTTTGAACTACTCAAACGCCCAAGACAATCTAACTCTGTACTCTGAGTGTTCCACTATCTATAAATTGTATTCAAGCATAAATTTGACAGCTGACTATAACCAATAGTGAAGACAAGAAATTGAAACCCTATCTAGATCTTGTTAGGTTCCAAAAGTATGATCAGGTTAATTTATCTACACAGAATTTATGTTCCAATTTCATCTACAATGGTGCTGCCACCACCAAAGTATAGACAGAGCAAGAGGATGAACAATCTTTAATAAATTGTTTATAGAGATCATGAAGAAGAAAGTACAAGGTATTACGCATTTGAAAAGAGATATGCATAATGCATTAAGAAAAATGATTCTCCCCAAAATATGGGGAGATATCATGGATACAAATACAATGATATAGAAGATCAAAAATAATTTTCCCAGCTTTACCTTTTTTTCCCTAACAGTATTTTGCACTTCCACTGAATTCCTGGCCCATAGCCCAATGCCTTCACGTACATATCTTGTTGAAGACTTGAAATAAGATTTACTACCACCACCACTTGCCACTCCAAACCTATTCTTCATTGTCTGTGTATGCATAGTAGTTCTACCAGGCCCAACTCTATGTTTGGTCCCATGCCAATTACATCTTGGAATACCATTGAACGAATCCAACATATTCTCAATGCTAAAATCATTATCAGAACATCCATCTAAGAGTTTATCTTCAGCCCAACTCGAACCCTTGGACCGAAAGGTATTTCTTCTTTCCTCATAATCCTCAAAATAGTCATCCTCATCAAGGTAGTTAGCAGCATCATATCTATTATAGGCATCCCTGTCATCATAAACCTGCCTACTACCTGTGCCCTTCTTGGCAGAAATAGACCTACTATGTCTTTCATGTCTTGTATATAATTGAGGATCATCCATATCATCTCTGTAGAGGGTGTTTTGATGCTTTCTTTCACCATGAGTAGGAAACCACTCATGATAATCATGAGCAGATGTGGGAGTTTGTCTGTTCCAGCATTCATCAACATCATCTAAAGTATATCGCGGATAATCCTCATCAAATGGACTTTCCAAACATTCATTCTCTCTGCCAGATGCTCCTACCTCTACTCCAGAATACCATAAGCGTCTTTCATGTCTATTCTCCAAATCTAGATAATTATTTTGCCAATCATCCAAGGGATTGGACCTGGCATATTTATTGTGCTCAGACCCATTGGAATTCCTAAATTGAAATGGCCGGCCATGTTTTCTTCTTTTATCAAAGTGAACATTGTCATATTCCCTTTGTTGTTTAGGCCAATTAGTATCATAGGAAGAAGAAAACCTCAACGTGGAATGTTCTTGGTTCCGAAAGAAAGGTTTTTCTTCCCTAATTAAACATTCTCTTTCCTGAAGATGCCAATCATTTTTTTGGACAGTTACACCTCTCATTCTTTGCATGCGTCTGTCAGAAAAGTATTGCTCCTCATCCCACTCTCTTTGAAAATTCAGATCTACTTCATCTCTTGATCCCCAATGATCTTGTTGATCAAAATCCATCTTTCGTTTGGCCCGAAACCTGTTTTCAACAGACCTTCTATCATAACATCCAAAGGAGGATTTGTTATCCCTATAACTAGGCCAATATTCATCATCAGAAGCAGAGGTAAGGCACCATTCTTCACTTCTATGATGGTGTATGCTTGAATGGTGCACTCCATAGCTGTGCTCTGCCGTGTCAATCAGATAGTTATTATCTTCAGAACTGTGGCTCTTCCACTTCAAATGTCTCCGAACTCTCCGTTCATTGTGCTTCAGGTCTTCTTTGATGAAGTTTCTGACTCTTACACGATACCTACCACCACTTTCATTCAACTTCTTATCATCCCTTCTGTTCCTCAAGTGACAATAATCAGCTTTAGCCACTTGGTTCCTTTCCTTTTTGGAATCTGAAGGTGATCTTCTCGGATCTCGATTTCTTCTTGAATCACAATAATCATCTTTTAATGCCTCAGACCAAGTATTAGAATTAGAAGGAGAAGGAGAAGGGCTAGTGCATCCATGATTATCATATGATAAATCTATATCTGCCACACATGGGTTTGCTTCTGTCGTATTGCTACCATTATCTACATCCTCCACAGAGCTATTGAGAATTTTCATGACTCTCGGATTTTCTCCATGAGAATCCTGAAGCTTCTGACTGGATACTGCTGCAGACTCGTGTGATCTGAACAGACACATACATAGGCATAAATGTTTTAAGATTTTATCCATAGTGAGATAAAGTTGCATAGATGCACTACCAAGGTGTAACAAGAGAAAAGAATTATAAATGTCAGTTTAGGTCTTCAGAAGAATGTATACTGTTTGGATTCTTTAGAACATCCGAAACAGAGAGGAATTTAGATTTTGAAGAGGAGGGTCATGAGACAAGTATGAAGTTTTGCTACACATAGCAGAACCAGATATATTAAAAGGAGCCAACACAATAGTTTATAAATAATTGAAGAAAGAGCAATTTTAGAGTCAGATAAGATGAAAACCTTTTGCAATCAGACGACACACTCAAACTTCGAAATTTTTCCTCAGAATTCTTTAGCATTTCATAAGCGTTGGAACCACCAGATTTCTCGGCTTTAAGCTCAACTTGTCCAACGCCAAACCCTTTTTCAGACATTTTACATTGAGTTCCAAGTGTATTATCTGGCTCCTCAAGGCCAGAACTGGAGGGCTCTTCTGGATCTTGCACAGTTATCTAGCCAAACACAGTTTGTTTAGAAAACTCTTAATGTGAAGTTAATTGTGATACATGTTAAAATAATACCTGTATGACAACATCAGAATCACGATTACGTGGACGCCTTCCATCTGTAGATGGCTGACGCTCAACATTGCTGTCTTCTACATGGATGGCTTGACCGATTTGCTGCACAAAAGAAGTGAGTGAGCCCCTTATGGAGAATCATACATCATGAAGCACAAGATGGAAAACGATTATTCCTCTTTTTTAAAGAATAATTTTTGTAAATGAGCAACTAGAAAAAATAACGGAGGCAAATCGCACTAATAACAGCAAAAAATATATTACATAGTGAACAAACAACTATCCTGATGGTAAAACTGCAAAACAAGTTAACAACAATAAGGGTAAAGTATATTTAGGGAACTACACCTTTTTGAACTGCTTAGTAGCAAAATCTGACTCATGAGAAGTAATTTTTCTAAGCCCATTGAGGGAAGACTCTGCTTCAACAAATCCTTCAGACTCTAATTCCTTAGTAGCTCCAGCTTCAGCTTTCTGATTACAAGCAGAAGAAAAGCTCAAAATCCCAATCAGAGTAGCTTCAAAAGTTCTAATGCAACACAAATCCTACCAGCTTGAAGCTATTGTTAACTTTGTTTCTGGTCTGACTGGTCGTTTGATGGCGTAATTGATCCTACACAGTCAATTAAGGTCAAAAATCCCTTCAGGAAGTCATAAAGAAAAATAAATAAATATTAAATTAAATAAATAATCAAGGCTTTAGAAACATAAGTCCTGTTTGAAAAAGGAATGTGTCACAAGATAGTAAGGGTGATAAACGGCCTGACCATCTCAAATGCATAAGGAGTTTTTCAAAATCAGATAAACATGCATGCTGGCTGATCTCAGACAAGACAAGAAGATATATAGCCATTAACAAGTAAAGGTCAAAGCTGTAAAAGGATACTTCCATGCGGAAAAGTTCCTTATTCGAAAACTAAGATAGATATCCATAAGATCACTACAAGGACCACAACTGGGCCAATTTTTTAAAAAGCCCCTATTCTGGGGATGAAGGGGGTTTTTATTTGGCAGTAGAGCTCAGAATTACCCACCAGTGAATGACAAAAGTTTCTCCAACTTTCCTCATCAAAACCAAAATTAAAGTAGTCTGTTATATCAGCCCCAGGACGTGTCCATGACTTCTCCTCTAACGTATCAATGTCCACATCTACAATAGTTCTGAAAAACAATAGCAAGATGTCCACATTTTCTTAGAAGAAAAAAAAAAAAAAAAAAAAAAAAAAAAAAAAAAAAAAAAACAGGCAAATTAGAACCAAAAAGGCAGCATCAAGAGAAATTAATAGGAGTAGCACATGGTGCCAGGGGAAATTTCCAAAGCAACAGACAGTACAAATCTCTTTTTATCCCCTCAACCAAAAAAGAAAAAGAGTAAAGGGGAGAGACATTACCAAAATAAAATACTTTACAATTTATAGTCCCTTGTATTGAGTTCAGCACAAACAAAGACTATCCAAAAAAACATTTCCATTTGTGCTTACCTATACCATGGAAGCCAAAAATTATTTCCATTGCCAGAAAAACCGTGAACAAAGCCTGACATTGTATTTTGACCACACCAAGCATCCTCTCTGTTGAGTTTCCAAGAGCTTATAGCTCGTTGATTTCCCGCAAAGACCGAGCCATATCTTCTTAGATACTAAGCATAAACAAAACATGAAATCAGTTTCTAACACAGAGATTATCCATCTACAATACAAAAGAAAATCAATACAAGTATGGGTAAAAAAGGATAACAACTGACGAGGCATCTAAACAGATTTGTCCTCTTATTATCTTTCAAATGCTATACACAGTTTCCATGTCAAAATTCAACTCAAAGAGTCAAAGCCTACTGAAGACAGAGCAATAAATCAGTAAAGGCAGCTGATATCATTTCACGACAAAGTATATTACCTACACCTATAAGTCAGGATCAGATTCAAATGACTGCAACCTGATGTGTAAACGACTCAAAAAACAAAAAAGAGCAATCATGACCTGAATATAGGCTATAAATGGAAGAAAAAATAAGTTCTAAGCTACCATTCTCCTAACTCTCCAATATATAGGAGAGTAGGAGACTAACACTACTTTTCCACGTATTCAACAGCACCATAAACTACAACTTACTCACAATTAATGAAGGGCATGTGCAAAGTTGAGTTATGTATGAACAGATTGATCAAGTGAAAATATTTTTTTACCATGACACTAGTGTGATCACAAGAATTAAACCCGAGTATTAATTGTTATCTATCGCACTTTTAATTGCCACTGCAATGTTGTATATCACTTCAAAACACCCATGCAATTTTATCAATCCGTCCAAATATCAATGTGACAACTAACAACAAATATGTGCTTAACCTTTAAATACAACTAAAATGATCAATGCACTACATCAATTATGAATCATAATTTCATAAGCAAACAACATAAGAAAACCTTGCCATTGATCAAATCATATCGCTTCTCTCATATACATAGCTATAATCTAATTGCAACATCAATTATGAATTCAATGAAATTTAAATAATGCAAAACAGTTAAGAGACACCTCCATATAAGCAAATAAAACTAGGATTCATGATCAACCCAAATGCAATTCGAATACACATACCATGTGTTGCGAATTGCAACCATTCTTCCCTACATTCCCTCTCTCCCCACCACAATCACCGCCACTCGGCTCCGTTCCATCCACATCAACCCGCATTGTCTTCTTTCCCGGCAAATTCTTCTCCGAAACCCCGGCAACAAACTCAGCCTCCGTACCATCCTCCGCCTCCTCGTGACAATTCCTCCCATCTCCACCTCCCTTCTTCTGCCCAATATCCTCGTCATTGACAACAATATCAAAATCATCATCAGTATCACTGTCACTGTCACTGACATTTTCCACTTCAAAATCATCAACCCCATTAATACCCATCTCAGAATTCTTCTCAGTCATCTCACCGTTTCCATTTGCTGAATCAATCTCTCTCTTCTCATCCACTCCCACCTCATTGCAATGCTCCTGCTGTTGCTGGTTTTTGTGCAATTGATAAAAATCAGATACTCCATTGATAGCTGAACTCGTATGAACTTCAATGTCGGCGTATAACTCCCCGAAATCATCGCCGAAATCTTTCATGATTATGGAAGAATTAGTTCACGAAAATGGGACGCATTCGATTGCAGAGTATGGAGATGAAGGGTTGAATGAAAGATAGCAGGAAGATGATTAGGGGTTTATCTAGGGTTTTACCTTAAACCCTACTTAAAATTTCAGGAATGAAGAAGGGTAATTTTATAATTTCATTGAGCGGGTCTGAATTCCACATTATGCACCTGCAAGCCTACAACTGACTACACACAAATCAAAATTAACTTATTAAGTAACTCTAACTGATGAGTAACATTTGACTGATCGAGTAGTAACCTCTAATCGATCGAGTTACCCCTAACGGATCAAGTTAGTAACTCCTACTCCTATAGCACTAACAAAGTAACACCTATGATGCGTGTGATCAATCACATATAAAAGTTTGTGTAAAGTTAATTAAAGTAATTTCCGATTGAGCGAAATTGGGATATTTTTCATGTCCTAAGATAAAACAGTGAATTAAACCGTTTAGACTTAAATAAAAAAGGAAAATGCTATACATAGCCTTTAGGCTATATATAAGCATTGAATTTACTCTTGGAAAATGTATAAAGTTAGGAATTCATGACAAAAACACGCGCAAATCGGTGTAATTAGTGTGTTTTTGTCGTGATTTTCTAAATTTAAACAATTTTCAAGGGTAAATTAAATGCTTATATGTAGCCCTCAAGGTTATGTATAACATTTTCCTAAATAAATAAAATTACAAAACTCAAAAGCAAAAAGGTAAAGGGTACTTTAAACAAATGTCAACCAAAAAATATAAAGTTTACCTCTACAACTACAGTAGCTCACTTTTTCTATGAATAATCATCCATAGACGATAGTCCATATTGGCATGGCCTTCACCTTATCTTGCTGCAATTCACTCTTCCTTCATAACCAACACGGTACTTTTCTTCTTACTTCCCCTCTCTTCTGTCTCTCTTCCTCTCTCTTTCTTCAACTAGTTTCCTCAATTCTTACCTCAAAATTCAAACTTTGGTTTTTTTTTTTTTTTTTGTAGTGAAAGTGAGTAATCATGTCAGCAACAACAACAACCACCTTAAAAGTGTCAAAAACCTCGTACTCTCAACTGGGGTTCCTTCAATTGCAACCCCACCTCAAGAATCCCTTCAAAAGGGCAATTGGGTCAAGCTCATTTGTGGTGCTAGCTTTGAGGTACTAATCAATTTCATCTATTCTTAAACCCTTACAAACCCCATCTTTCAATTTGTAGAATTGAAGTAATTTGATCATTTTGTTTGTCTGTAGGATGTTGTTGACATAAGGAATATGTCTCTAGTTTACACCCTTGCTGGAGGTACACTGTGTTATTACTTACTACCTATGTTACTCAGACTCGGGTACTCGTGTTGAACATGGGTATGTGTCTAAGTGTCCTACCCATGTCGGAGTGCTGATGATCCAGCACGGGTACACTTGAGGGAAATGAAGAGTTCGAGTAACATAGTTTACTGCCAATGTAACTTGTAAATTGGTTTTGAGTTTTGTGTGTGTGTGTGTGTGTTTTTCTTGGGGTTTATGGTGGTATGTTGTGTTTGTAGTTGATTGTATTGATTGTGCGGCGGATGCATCGGTTGTGAGTGCGGTTAATGAAGGAATTGAAGCGGCCATGAACATAGTGTCACTTCGCCGGCCATGGGTTATGATTAGTGTCAATGATGATGAAGACCTTCATTTTCGTAAAGCTGGTAATCTGTAATGCTTTTATTTGTTTATCTTCAATACTTGCAATTGTAAGGAAGATTGATACTTGTAGCTGTTAATAAGTTGCTTGTCTTGATCCTTGATTAAGTGGAGTTAGCTAGTTTAGATACAATCTAATTCCTATTTTCAAGCAATTTGAAGATTGTGCATTTGTGCTGGATAATAGAAGGATGTATGCTGTCAAAAACAAAATTCATCACTACAACTTTGAAAAAACAGTGATAATTAGGTTGTAATTATGATCAGAATCATATATAAGATAACATATAAGTATGCTAGAAAACACTTTTTAGCACGGTTTGAAGGCATTAATTGATGATTGTTTACCAGCATAAAAACCTGTTTCTTTGTTGTCTTGTCTTCTCTTCATTCCTGTGCCCTCTGATCAATATGGTATTGATTATAACTCTGGTTTTATTACCAAGTTCTCATTTGTAGCCATACTGTTGCGAACACTAGAATGGTTTCATATAATGTGAGCAGTCTGAGCACAGGAATAGATGCCTTGAAAATTCTAACAATATTATTGGCTTTGATAATATAGGGCAGCAATGCCAATCATCTCTAGTGAAGCTACTGTAGGAGCCTAGGAGGGGTGAATGCGTATGCATTTCATTTGACAACTTGTAGCTTCCGGCTTCATTTGCCCCTTTGAGTGTGATGCTCTGTGTCAAGTGGACTTTTCATTTCACACTCTCTGTGCTGGATTTATTTATCCTTTCTGTTGAAATGGGTCTATGGTGATAGCATTAGGATAAACACCTGGGACACTCTTCGAAAAATGGCTGAATCTTATACCTAGACCATACCATTCTGATACTAATAACCAAGTCCCTTGAACAAAGCTCCTGTAGGATTGACGACTTTGGGGTTACCCACATTGCAGTAACTTCAGTTATGCAAAATGCAAATATTAAAGTCCTGATATATCTTTGCTACATCATCACACATTAAGCACTTTTTTCGCTTGGTAATATTTCATATTTAATAGCCTTTGATCCATCGGAGTGTCCACTGGATTGCTCGAGACCATGCGAGGCTGTTTGTCCTGCCAATGCTATTGCATTAAAGAAAGGAGAATCCTTGGAGGTATGTCCTTATGCCTAAACAATACTTAGATGTTTATCTTGCTTTTTCAAATATTGCAGCAGTTTTTTATCTAAATATTTGAAATACCAATTGACCTGCAGGGAGGAGTGATTAATGAGCGATGCTATGGGTGTGGACGTTGCCTTCCAGTCTGCCCATACGATAAAATAAGTGAGTAGTTCTCCATAAGCACTTCACCCCTGGTCCTTTGTCCTCTTGAATATTGCTGTAGGTAGTGCTCAGACTTATTTACAGTTCTTCTGTATGCTTTCAGCATTCACTTTGCTATTTTATTCATTCATCATTCATGCACATGATTTTTACAGAGGCAGTTACCTACTTGAGAGATGCTGTTTCTACTGCTCAACTGGTCAGAAGAACTGATGTTGATGCTATTGAAATCCATACAAATGGAAGGTAATCCCGGAATTTGTTACATCTAGTTGATTTAGTTTTGTGTATAAACTACAAAGTTATATTGTGGAGCTACATATTCTCAATAAATGTATTTAAAAGTCAAGATGGCTAATGTTTGTTAAAAAATCTAAAAATAACAATTAATGTAATGTATCCTCTTCATTGAAGTTCTCATGATGAAAGCTTTCCACAAAATGTCCTTTTTCTTTCTTTTGCTTAACCTGTAGTGGTTTTCGACAGGCAGACTGATTCCTTTAAGGAATTCTGGAATGGAATGGGAGATTCTGTTAGCCACCTGAGATTAGTGGCTGTAAGACTGGACATGTTTCTTTATACACATTGAGATCAAACAGCTATATTTGATTTCTATTAATGTGCATTTTTACCTTCAACTACTCAGATAAGCTTACCAGATGTGGGTGAAGCGACTACAACCTTAATGAACACGATGTTCTCAGTCATGAAACCAAATTTGAGTTGCTACAATCTATGGCAGGTTTCTCTTCTTTTTTTTCCATCTATCATCAATGTAAACTATTCTGAAGTATTACATACCATTCGTTTTTTTTTTTTAGAACAAGTATTACATACCATTTGTTATACTGTTATTCCCTTTTTCTGCTGGTCCAGCAACCCAATAATTTTAAGCTTAATTCTGGCATTAGTTGGATGGACGCCCAATGAGTGGAGACATTGGACGAGGGGCCACCAGGGAAGTACTTGCTTTTGCTGTTCGCTTGGCTGCTGCCGAGGATAAACCCCCTGGTTTGTTGTGAATTTTACGAGCATTATACCAATTATTTACTTTCTTAGTAACTAATTGGTAGCTTCACAGGCTTTCTTCAATTGGCTGGTGGCACTAATGCTCACACCATAAATGGGTTGAAGGAACGGGGAATTTTTCAAACCATGAGTAATATTTATGACACCTACAAATATGTTAGTCTTATTGGTCTCATTTTCTGCTTAACTCATTCAAACTGTTCATTAGGGAATTCTGAAGATGGGATCTTAAATGAAGATATACCTGGTTCATCAGAATCATCACTCATTGGCGGTATAGCATATGGTGGTTATGCTAGGAAGGTACAATTGTACATCTATATAAATTAACATGTTTCTCCTTCATTATCATATACTGCATGGTTAAAACTCAATTAGCCATCTTTAGCTCTCCATCACACAGTAAGGGAGGTCATCAAGATTCTTGCATTGCTTTTCAGATTGTTGGAAGAATATTGAGATCCATGCAATCACAGCATGGTCTTGCTTATATAGAGGATTGTCCTGTGTATCTAAGTGAGGCACTTAGAGAAGCCCTTGCTCTGGTTGGATCGGTCAAATGCTATACTCACCTTGGCGTCCATCAAGAATAATCAAGGTCACAGCTATATTTATGTAGTTTCGTCTTTTCTCAGAAAATCAATGATCTTTTAACTGCCTATTATCAGTATTCCTGTCACATATAAGGTATTCCTGTCACATCTTTTAACTGCTTATCAATGTGACTTTAAGCTTGATTACTAATTATCGAAGGATATTGTTATTCTGATTAAACTATGGCCATATTTTTACAGTTTATGAAGCTGCTATTGTCACCTTTGCTCTGATTTAAGCCTGGGAAACTATAAATCTACGATCCTCTGAACCGGATTCAAGTATCGACTTAGGTATGGGTTTATATATATCTGACATGGGATATACTTAAGTTTTACAGTTTGGGGACTCAATTGAGTGTCCTTATGAACGAATACATGGAAATAATTCTTTGTTATACATGTACATAGAAGTAGAAAAGTATTAATGTTCCTTTCTTTAGCCAAATTTGATGTGTTCAAGTGCACATCCATTATTCCTCATTCCTGTTGAAACATCACAAATTAGAAATATACCAATAGGTCCTAGTTGGATCAAATTATAAATATAGAGATTATTGGATTGATTTTTGTTAAAAATCTACCAAAATTATGTTCAAAGGACGACATATATTTTTGGCATGTCTTTTGATACAGGAACAGGTAAATGATGCTCCAAAATTCTTTGAAAATGAGGAAATTGAGTTCTCTCTTTGTTATAAAATAGAGATTATGTGCAGTTGGATGACTTGGATCATGAAGTCGTCAATTAAAAAAAAAAAAAAATTGAAGTTGATGTAAATTTGTATTAAACCTTATTCGACTAAGATCCCCTTATTTTTTGTATACTTTGTACTGTATTAGATTGAATAAATATATAAGATTTCTTCTTTTTTTTTAAAATAAAAAAATTGAATACTTAAAATCTCTTTTCACAAGATTTGTGTCGATGAATACTTAAAATATGGTATAATAATAGTTATTGTAATTATAAATGCAACAAAGGGTCCATAGCTCAGTGGTAGAGCATTTGACTGCAGATCAAGAGGTCACCGGTTCGAACCCGGTTGGGCCCTTACAGTTTTTTTTTTTTTTTTTCTAAGTCTAATATCAAACTTTGAATTATATCCCATAACTAGGTTAGATCCCGTGTCATGCACGGTGATCGTTATTGATTATTAATAGATAATTATTATAATCACAAATTAGTCGAGGAATAATAAAAGTATGTGATATGTTAAATTTTAATTGTAGCTTCTAATACACAATTAAAAATAAAAGTAGGCATCCGAGCATTTTTTTTTTGGTGTAAAAAAAAATCACAAAATATTTTTAAGAATATAATTTTTGGTTTATAGTTGTCCAATTTTCTATTTTAGAAAAAGTATTTGTGAAATCTTTTTATTCTAAATATACTACATTAATATGGAATATGTACAACAAATAATAATTATTTTTGAAATTGATTTGTTTCCTTAATTAATAGATTTTTTTTACATTAAAAATAATAATAATTAAGGACACACCAGGAGATGACACATGTCATTGCTGGTGTGTATTTTAGTATATAGTACTAGTTTAAGTCCCGTGCCATGCACGGTTATAATTAAATTTTAGAACAAATAAATAATAAATAGTGGTGTTAATTCAACAATAATTTATCCAAAAAAATTAGTTATAATAAAAATAACTTGAATTTTAGTTTAAACCAATTAGGGGTGGCAATTTGGGTCAGCAGGTCGAGTTCGAGTCAGATTTCGGTTTGCTTTCGTGTTATGCTTAGAAACTATAAAAAAAAAATAGTGTAAAACTTAATATAATTATGAAATATGAAATTTAGGTCAAATTATCCTTAGAAACCTTCAATTCAAGGTTTTGATTGAGGCCCAAAAAAATATGTTTTATACTAAATCAAATAATTAGATTTAATTTTCCAATATATGTTATGTACGTTTGTATGAAGCATACTTTTGCTAGTGATTTTGTTTTTATAAACCTTATGTATAATTTTAAAATTTATACAAAGAATCTATGCTACCAAAATGAATTTTCTATTTTAATTAAATAATTTTTTTTATCACATGATAAAAGTTGGAGAATTTTTTTTATATAAATATGTAAAATTAAATTTTTTACTCGTATGCATTGTTAATCATGCATAAATTTGATATTTAATGGTGAATTGAAACTATATGTAGATAGTATTGTGAATATTGGAAATTTGAAAAGATTTTATACTACTTTTCACATTATTACTGTTTTGTGAATGATATGGTTGATACGGTGTATATATTTACTATGTATACATAAATATTATATGATAAGAATATATAAGAATATAATAAAATATAATAATTAAATGAGGAAATAATTATATAATAAAATTAAAATATAATATAATAATTAAGGAAATAATGAAATTGGCGGGAAAAAAAAATGAATGACATTATGCCAAGTGTCATTATAGGTTCGCTTTTAGTATAGGTTAATAGATAATGAATTGTATAACCTATGGTCTATCTTCGGTGCACCATTTTACCTCTCTATTTGTTGAAAGGGGCGGGCATTAATTTGGTGGATACAACTCTGCAAGACGATCCAAAATCACTCAGTCATGTGTGGCAGAGGATTTAACACAAAGGAAAGGTTGATTGGTAGTTGGCTACACATTAAATTACTACTACACCATACCACATCATGGATTTTTAGTCATTAGTGTTGCGTAATGTAAACACAAAGATAAGTCTTACTAGATTTATTATTTTCCTAGCTAGTCATCCATCAACTACTCAATAGTTTATACATACTACGTGAGTAAGTGTTGTAACGGTATTCCTACTAGTAAAAATATATAAAATAGTAAAAATTGCTTAATTGGGTCGAACATTTCTACAAATTATAGGAGGTTCGAACATTGAGTCTAGTACTCTAGTTACTCCGACAATTTGGGATTTTTTTTGTCCGTTCATGTTAAGTTTTATTTTATTATTTTTTCCAATCAAATGGGCGCAAGTGTGGTTTATTCTATTGCTAGTAAAAATTTGACTATTTAAAGGAGTGTGTACAAAGGTGCACTACTTTGAATAATAAGATTAATGCTACGAAATGTATGAAGCAAATGCCAAACTCGGGAGTGTTAGAAAAGAGGAAAGTCAAGCTCTATGTTGTTGATTTTAAGCTATAACAGTCGGTATGAGTGTTCATTAGTAATTTAGTAGCAGCACTTTGATTAGTATTGTTTTGACTTGGCCAACTACAAATCTTCTTATGAGTAAAACAAAATGGGCTGTAAATTTGATTATTGTAGCTTAATCAATTATTTTGAAATGAAATAAGACTATAAGAGTATAATACAACTTACATGATTATAATTAATTTTATAGACTAGTTTACATAACATTTTCAACATGTATTGTATATAATTAACCATACTTATTTTACTTAGATTAACTAAGCTAAGCAAATGGCATAAGAGTAAAATGTTATTTTCAGATTGATCTACTTATTAGACTCATTTACCTCGAAAATCTCTATAATCTAATGTAAGAGACTTTTATCGAGTGAGTTAAACCTTTCTTGATTGGTAAGACCGTAAGAGTACAATATAATTTACACTATTATTTTATTCAGACTAATTTATAAACATGTGTAGTCTATGAATTATGGGTGTATTAATTTACATGCCTCTTGAAGACTCAAATTTGAGTAACGTTAGTTGGTAATCTTTGCAACGGCAGCAGCATGTGAGACACGAGGGTGAGCATTTGGACCGACCGTGCAATAATATAGCACGAGGTGCACGAGGAGAGTGCGTGGGAGACTACCCGAGAGAGATACTATTATTAATTTGTTTTATGTTGCTAAATAATGACATAGAATATACCATAAATCACTAATTATATTTTCTAAATCAAAACTATGATCCTCGTATCTTTTATACATGCTCGTTTTAGTCGTGTTGTGATTCATTTTGTGGGAAATTATTATTATTATTTATGTGTAATAGCAACTAATGTATCACAAATTTAAATAATTTTAAACTTTAGGTGATTTGTGAATAGTATATATAGTTGACTAATGTTTACATTATTGTTAAGAATATACTCTGTAAAGATGATTTGATTAACTCAAATTAAGATACACTCAATTTGAACCTATGCAATCCAAAATACAAACATAGCTTAGAAGCTGGATAAATAAAAAAAATATTGATAATATTATTTTATATCTAAAATGTTGAACTACATTATTATTAAAACATTATGGTAATTATATTTTAAAAGACCACTATATAATTTTCATTAAAAGATAGTTTATGTTCGATTATATAGTATATAGGTTCCTTACCAACAAAAAAAAAAAAAAAAAAATACAAGTTTACAAAAGACCTAGTAATCATCATAATAGTCAATTTATAATATGTGTATGTGTTATGTAAGTGAACCACAAAACCAATACTCATTCAATATATATTAACAACCTATAGAGCTACACAAAGTAAAATGATATAATTATCATCCCATACATAAAACCTTAAAGTAAGAAGATTACGAGATTAAGTATTCATTACCAATGATGTGAAGCTGAGTAACTAACAAATTAATTTAACTCCAAATATTTGACTATAATCATCTTTTATTCGAAGTATATAGTTACGTACGTATATCATTGCTAGGGAAAATAATATCATTTGTAAAGTTGTGACATTAACTTACATCGCAAGAAAATTAAATATGAATAAAGGAAATGCAAGCATGCATGCTACAATTTGTCGTCAAAATTAATACTCCGTATTTAATGTTCTTTTAATTTCATGCTACAATAGAATCGTTAAGGAAAAAGACATGCACGCACGTAGTTTTCTTAGACATTTTCAAATCATGGTGATCATGAGATTCATGACAATATAGATATTGAAAATGGTATAACTCGTATAAGAGATCAAATGCGGAACATTATTATATTAGATGTATCATTTTAGTTTACTTTATCGTCCTAATTAAAAAATAAATAAATAAATAAATAACTTTTGATAAACAAATCAGTTTTATAGTTGCCTGCTGTAAATTGTGAAAACCTCTTATAAAATTGAGAATTTTAGGTCAATTAAAGTTGGAATAATTTATTTTTGGAACATTGAGGTTTAAAATTGTGTTTAGTTTTATAAAATGGAAAATGAAGGCTATGTATAAGAAACTACAAATGGAAAGATTGAGGATAAATTAACATTAATTACATCGATTTGCTCGTGACTATGTCATAAATTCCAAACTTATTTCCATTTAAAAAAATATATTTAATGTTTATATATAACCTAAGGGCTACATCTATCATTATCTAATATCCATCCAGTCGCCCTGTTATTCATTGATCTTTCTACTTCTTTATTATGCGTGCTTCATTAGGGTAAGTTTATCCCAAGACTGAGATTTATACTTTAGACTCTGCCACATCAGATTCCCACTAACTTTTAATTACTTTTTTATTATTCAGACTCATACAAGACTTTCTCCAATTTCACACATTATTCCAAGACCCACTTCAGATTTACTTATCCAATTAATATTTATA